TTCATTGAATCACATGTTGCTTTGTGCACTTCTGGGCAACTAATTCAGGTGCATGGTGGCCCTAACTCTGTGGATAGTCTCTGAAGTGGGAGTGAGAGGTATTTCCAGAGAATCTTTGAGCTGTGAGTCTGTGTTTTACCATGGGCTCAGCAAGAAGACCAAGCTTCAGAGTTTGAATGCTCTGATGTTATTTCACTAACAAGTGTCGTGGCCTTAGCCCTGATGAGTGGCTTTAGCATCTTTCACTGTCTTTTACTATAACTTCTTTCACCTTTAGTGCTAATGAGAGGCTTGCTCAGAGAACTGCTGCTTACTACCACCACCACAGCTTCTCACTCAGCTCACTTCAGGCCCTTGGCTGTGCGGGCATTGCCTTTGCATGTCACAGTTTGTAATGGCTGGTAGTGTTCTGTGGTTCAGTGCCTCATGGTGTCAGCAATGATGCAGCTTTGATTTGGGGTTATTGCTGTGTGTGTTCTTTCTTTTTCCTTTCCTGCTGCATGAGAAGCAGCAGTCTGGCAGCTTTAAGCAGTACCTAAGCTGAGTCATGTAATGTTCTGTGGGTGAAGAGCTCAGACTGAGCTACCTGGAGTGCAGCACATCTTGACCAGCTGTTAGACCTGATCCACATGATGCTGTACACTCCTAGATTTAGTGTATGGCTTAGGGCTGTGCTTTCCTCCTCCAAAGCTTCTGCAGAGCTTGAAAGACCTGATTGTTGTGCAGGTGAAATAGGCATTAGGGAGGGATAAAGTTGCTTCCCCAAAGCAGACCCAGCACAAGGAGCAGGTGCCAGTCATAGATCCAGCGGCTTGACGGTTTGAAATCCAGGCTGAAACTGTAAAACAAGAGGTCAAAAGGACAAGTTCATCCTGCCCTTTGCTTAGCAAACCTGGTTTATGTCTTGTCTTTATCTGAGTTGATGCTCAGCAGCAGGTTTCATGTGTCTGGCACCCTGAGTCTGCCATGCAGCCTGATGAAGTAGTATCAACAGCTTTAGCAAGAGCACGTCATCTGGCTGATGATTCCACATGGACATGACTTGTCTGCGGGTGGGACATTTGTCCTGGGGCCTCATCTATATGCTTTTATAGACATGAATCCATAACTGCAGCCCCAGAATGGTTGCGTGGCTGTATCTCCATGAGGAGTGTTCAAGGCAAGGATGGACGGGGCACTTGGTCTAGTGGAAGGTGTCCCTGCCCCAGCACGGGTTGGAACTGCATGAGCTTTAAGGTTCCTTCCAACCCAAACCAGTCTGGGATTCTGTGAATACAATGCTAATGAACTGGGATTCATGACAGCAGGCAGCTGAGAGTTTGAGAATAATGCTGCCTAACTCAGAGGCACATGTCAGTGAATCACATCAGACATGAGCCTTGCCTGTGTGTTAGCATCAAGGCCTTTGCTAGAGTGACAGTAGTGCTTCCTCTGCTGCCACTCATGTGGTCAGTGGAGCTGAAAGGAAGAAGTTATACAGGCACAGAATGTACAATCTGTCCCTGGAGATAGTGAAGGATGCAGCATCTTTCTCCAAGGGATTTGAGTTTGGTCCCATAGTGATAATGCCCAAGCATTGGGAAGTACTTTTCATGTGAGGAGATGAGGTCGTGGAGTACACAGAAATCCTTCCTGCAGTCCCTGTTTCCCTGCTGTGGCTGGGAAGCCATCTGGAAGACTCACTGCAGCTTAAAAGACTCTCTTAGATCATCTGACAGCAAAAGCAATTTCTTTGTTGCTGGAAATGAGAAGAGAATACACTGTAAGCAAGAAGAAGAGATCATGGATTGGGTTGTGTTGCTGTATAACAGTTAAATATTCATGGGTTTGCTGCAGACAGCTCCAGTCTTCTCTAAAATGTGCTTATTCTTGTTTCTGCTCAGTATGTTACAGTACATTTTTGTTCTGCTTTGAGTTTCCTTCCCATAACTGTCTGGCTTCATCTTGGTAATATTATCTGAAACAAAGCTCTAGGTTTCTTTTTGAAAGCATGGTGCACATTCAATCCTGGCTATGGCACAGACTGGTCTTTTCCTGTGTCTTAAGGTAGTAGAAATCAGGATTTGTCTCCCAAACAAGTACAAAAAAGGATAGTTGACAAAGAAGAGTAACTACAAATGGGAGGTTATGGACATGCACTCCCCTCTTGCTCTTTCTGGTCATGGCAATGTGGATGGAGAGGATGATGTTGGTACTGCAAGAAGCCCTCCTTTCTGACAGTGGAGGTGAGGGAGATAGTAATGGAAATAGCCGTGGTTAAATGATTCTGGGTTTAAAGCCTGTCACAGCATAAATCAAAGTTACCCCTAGAGCTCCTGTGGCTACCGCTGGCTGCCTATAGGGGACCTTTCCTCCTTGGTTCAGTGCCTTTGCCATCAGACATGAGATTTAGTGCTCTAAGTCTGCAGAGTCTTCCTTTCAGGTAGATATCAAAAGCTGGACTGCCTGTAAGTCACTCTGCAGTGCATGAGGAGGGAGTTTCTGAGAGACAGATCAGCATTCAGAGACGATGTATCAGCCAGCCTGGGAGAGGCTTCTTGGACTGCTATGTTTGCAGAGAAGCTTTACAGCTGATGTCGGAGTCATAAGAGAGAAATCAGTCCTGAGGTGAAACCAATACAATTCTCACACCTATGCGCTCTCATTGTGAAACAGTAAAAGTAGCACCAAAGTATCATAAAGATAGTGTCAAAATCACCCAAATTATTTCAACATAAGGGGGGTCCCACAGCTGCCTGTGAAGGATTGCTCTGCATTAGATGTTAAATAGGGCTCATCTAAATTTTATAGCAACTGATTTGATGCAATTCCCTCCTACATGAATGGGCAAAGTTGCTTTCTTCTACTTTTCCCTGTGAACTGTGTAGGAAGGCAGTGTGGGGAGTTCTCCACTGGCACATTTTAGCTGGAGTGGACAAAGCAGAGGCTGTCATACTGCAGCCATCTATGGCTGCTTTCTTACTTGTGACAAGAAGGATTTTCTAGGAGAAATAAGACTTTCCAAGCTTCATTTCCTGTTACTTCTTGAAATCACATCCAGGTTGGCTGCTGGAAAATAGAGTCTGACAGATCACAGACTTTGATTCCTAGCAGTGGCCAGATCCTTGCTCCAGCAGGAAGAGAGGCTGACCACGTGGCAGCATACCTGGGATCACCACTGATCCACAGCCTGTACCATGGTTCTTCCTGAAGGTTAGCTTTTTACCTTGGATTTCCCAGTGTGCATCCTCTGTGTCCTGGTTGGAGCTGGAGCATTATAATGAAGGTTTCCATGAAAATGTAGGCTAGAGTCTGTTTGACTATGTATATCCCTTCCCTTTTCCTTCTTCTGAAAAGCTCAGAGACTTGAGGTTTAGTGAAGAAGCAGCTTGAATCAACAGGACACTGGGGTCTCGCTGCATTCCTATTTTGTAGGGCTTGTCTGTGCTCACTGTGATTTGCCAGTGTTGCATGCAGGAGCTGGCAACAAACATTGGAGACAGTGAAGATCTGATTCTTTAAATCAGTGATTTCTTATTTTTCCTCTGATGATATTTTCCAAATGTAATATCACAGTGGAGGCTGGTGAATTAATCACAGGACAAAATGGACAAATCCACTGAGAGATGTCAAAGCTCTTGGTTTGGTGTAGTCATGTTGACTGAAACTGGGTGAAAAGCAAGATCCCCTGTTCTGCCTTTAGGCAAACATCTGGTGAAGCACAGGAAATAGAAGAAGGAGGAAACACAAAAAGTTACTGGAGCAGAAAGGCAGATGTCAGAGAGGGTTTAATATTATTAAAATAAATTTCATTTTCTGGGTGTTGTTTTTAAACATTTGTAGGATGTTATGAAGTGCCTATCATCTGCTGAGCAGTGGAAGAAGGAAATATTTTGCATAATTATGCAATTGAACAGCATTAGAACCCTCGTAATCCAGAATGGACTCTTCATCAGGCAGTTAGTCCAGCTTCTATCCATAATACAAGTCCTGATGAGGCCACGTTGAAATGGAGTTCTTTTTTTTTCCTTTTTAGGAAGGTCTGTCCCCATGAGATGAGGGCAGATTAGCGACTGCTGGGAATCAAAGTAGAGTCTTTAAAATAGTGAAGCTACTCTGAGGTGCACCACCTGAACTTATGACTCTAAAATAAACTTTTTAAATTTGTTTCAGTCTTGAAATGAATCCTCCTCACTGTGAACTCTAGCTAAATGCATCTGTACTTCTGGAACGTTCAATATTGGTGTAGATGTGAACATCACTTCTTCCCATACCAGAACTTGAGGAATGTGACTTCCCAAAGCCACGTTTGTTCCCGGACTGTGCCCATGCCTACTGAGCATGCAGTCACGGCCAGTTCTCATGAGTGACACATCCTTAAACTGGCACTCGTACAAGTTGCTTGCTTGGCTGTGCAGAAAATGGATGAGAAACAAAATAAGGTGCTGAAACTGGGAAACACTACACTTCCGTAAAGCTGTGACCTAAATGCGGGAGTCTTTTTGCCTATCCATGAGTATGTGGCAAAATAAGACTTACAGTATGTGTCACTTGTGATGACATGAGCACAAGAGAAATGTCCTATTTTGGTTGCAGGCGAATTCTTTCCCTTCCATTTCATTAGCTAATTAGAGCATTCCTTTAACAAAGCCCTTTTCTGCTGCATGCTCAATGCAATCTTGGAGAATTGAGGTCTGCTCAGCCTGATCCTGCAGTGCCTTTCGCATGTGACTCCTGTTCATGTCAGTGGGTGCTCTGCACATTGGCGAGTCACTGGGTTGGACCCTGGGAATGTTCAGGGTCTCCAGAAATGGTTCCAGATTCATGGTTTTGGTATATCACTTAATTGGAGCTAATGGTATGGTTGTAAGAAAGCAAATGATAGATTAACAATGATGGACTAATGAGCTTAATCCATTAATGTCCTTTCTAGTCATAAAATACTATCTTTTCTCCTAGCCCTATTTTGACAGATCAAGACAGCATACAGGTAAGAGATGTCCTTTGTGCATTTCAAGCAGTGGAGAAGGTGTTTGCAGTACCAAAAGGATTTTACTGGCAGACAGTTGAAACTGATGACAAATACTTCCCTAATAGCAGCAACATCAAGGCTTGCAGAGATACAGACACCAAGGTAAAAGAAAAACCCCAAACCACTCCTTTCTGACTTATGGGAAGACTTATGTGGGAAGATGAGAGATGATTAAGTGGCCTGGAATATTTTAATCTTGAGGTTTGGTACAAATACTGATCTTGAAGTATTTCTCACTCAGACCTATATATATCAAATGAGTATTTTGTGTCATCAGTATTGATGTGCTGATTGCTCTGAGCCACAGAAGATTAAACTGTGAAATGAGGAGACTGAAGAAATTGCTACCAGCTAGGGTGCAAATCAGTAACAGGAGACAGTATTTTGATAGCCTAAACCCACTTGACTGTAAGCCAGTATATAATACAACTTATCTAAACCTTGTGCTCAGAAATGTTCAAAAAAACTAATTCTGAAGCTTCTGGTACCACCTGACCTACAGTAACTGTGTGTATTCTATGCACAAGTAGGATGCAGTTCTACTTGGTTTACCACAGAGGAAGAGAAGGTTAGGATAACTTAGGTTATATTTAGGAGTACATACCAAAATGCACTGGACCTCCAACCACAATAACTTGTTAACTGTAGTAACTTACCTTTCTTAGCTCTTGTGCAATGCCAAACAGCATGTTTGATCTGACAGAGTTCAGTTTCCTGTTAAGTGTTGATTCAGGGAGATGCAGATACACAAAGCTTCCTCTCAACACTTAACAGTTCATGCCCGAGCCACTGCTGAGATGTACCAGGCTTGCTCCTGGAAGGTACTTGAGGTGCACATATAGGAGCTGAGGATACCTTATGCACAGTTGGAAAATGCCTTATGTCTTTGTTGCAGTTCCTCGATGTGCCTCAGGAGTGCTGGAGTGGGTCTGTACAGGCCTCTCACAGCAAGGGCAGGGTGCTCTGTAAGAGAAGGCTATCTGGGAGCAGAGAGGGTGCAGTCCCATAGTATCTAAGCAAGGAAAGCAGAGCAGGCCCAGCAGCTGTAACCAGGCTCAGCCAAAGAGTCCACAGTGACAAGCTCAAACCAGAAAGCCTGTGGGTTAGGGTAACAGCCAGAATTAGTGACCTGTGACATAAGAAGGATGTGGAACTGTTGGAGCAAGTCCAGAGGAGGCCATGGAGATGCTGCAAGGGCTGGAGCAGCTCTGCTCTGGAGCCAGGCTGAAAGAGCTGGACTTGTTCAGCCTGGAGAAGAGAAGGCTCCTTCCTTAAGGGGAGACCTTAGAGCAGCTCCCAGTGCCTAAAGGGGCTGCAAGAAACCTGGAGAGGGGCTTTGGACAAGGGCCTGTAGGGACAGGGGGAATGGCTTTAACCTGACAGAGGGAAGACAGAGATGAGCTCTTAGGCAGAAGTTCTTCCCTGTGAGGGTGCTGAGGCTCTGGCACAGGGTGCCCAGAGAAGCTGTGGATGCCCCATCCCTGGCAGTGTTCAAGGCCAGGTTGGATGGGGCTTGGAGCAACCTGGTCTGGTGGAAGGTGTCCCTGCCCATGGCAGGGGGTTGGAAGTGGATGAACTTTAACCCAAACCAATGTGATCCTATGAGACTGGGCAAAGGCATACCTGCAGCAAAGCTCAGCAGAGGCCAAAGGCAAGTACCTGACGCCAAAGCAGAGGCAGCCGGGCTGGTGCTGAGGCTGTGCAGTGCTGGAGAGCTGCATTAGCAGAGCTGGCCCTGGGCCCAGGCAGCTGAGCCCCAGGGACTCAGAGGAGCCACAGAAAAATTCTTCCTTGCTGGCTGCTGAATATTGGGTTAATAGCAGGAGAGCTTGAGCTAGACAAACATAAAGAAATAGAGCTTTTATTCCTAATTAGACCACTTTTTTTATGATTTGAGTAAATTTATATCTTCATTTATCATGATTGTATAGGCCTTATAACATGTTTATGGGGGAGTAGCATTTCATTTAAAGTGTCCAATAGTGATGAATTCATTTGGCATTCACCGCAGCCATAAAGCTTGCTGCTGGGGAGAGCGTTGAGTTGTCTTCTATCCAGGAGGACCATGCACATGTTTGAGGCCATTACAATCACACTTGTCTGATCTACAGCTGGACAATTTATTACCCATAGCACCACACAACTTCCAGTCATAAGGAGTTTGCTTCTTGAAAGAATATTTCTTCTGATGAAAAAGTGATAATAATTTGCGTCCTTTTGGGTATAGACATTCAGTCTGTTTTGGTGTATGTTTTCCTACACACCAGGATGGGCTGAATTGCACTCATCTGGTAAAGAAGATTTCAAAATGTAAATGTGGTACAGAACCAGTGATGTGTCTGCCTTTTAATTTTGTATTTTTTAATGTTGGTTTTGACATTTTTATGTATGTATAAAGAAACAACCAGTTTGTCTATTATTATTTAACCATATTTCTGTATTATGTGAAGTTTGACAGCAGGAGGGCTGCGCTTCAGGCTCTGCCCCAGAGAACTTGCAGGTTTTTTACTAGTAGGTTTATGTGACAAAAGGCACAGTCATATTAGCAGAAATAGTCAATCATAAGTATCATAACTATCTGTAATTCAATCTGAAGCTGAATAGCGTGTGAACATAAAAGAAAGCCTCTTTGTAGCTCTTACAATGTGAATAAAGCATGGGAACTAAAGGTGAGCAGAAAAGATACAGCTCTATGGTTGTTGAGGGCTTGGAAGCATTTAATTCACTTTTCCAATGTGCTCTTGCTGTTCAGGTTGCCATGGTGCTGCTGTTTGAAAGGCTCTTCCAAAGTCCCCTGGTTACCCATCGCATGTTGCAGCTGGTACTCAGTGCAGGTCTGGATACCTGTGGACTCCACCTGCACTATCCTCAGCAGGATGTACTGCTCTCCTGCTCAAGTGAGGTCTGGTTTTCCTTCTGAAAACTGAGGTGGAGGCAAAGATCTGTGAATGTATGAAGATGAAGAGTGATGTGATGCTGTGAATACGGGGAAGAGGGTATCAGATTTACAAGTGTTGCTTTATCAGTTCCCATCTCTTTCCCAAAAGAAATGATAGAAGATTCTGGGCTGATTCTTTCTTTCTGTTCCCAGTATTGAATATCCAGGAGTTGAATTTTTAAGTCTTGATATATTTTTGTGTCTCAGACAACTTCAGTTGTGTTCACTTGCAGTGATCTTTCCCAGATTGCAGTGCCTTGTGCTCCAGGGTTACTTGTGTGAGTTAAATATACTATATTAGCTCCCAGTGACTTTCCTGAATGTTCTAGCTGCAGAAAATCCAGCCTCCCCACAATTTCCCCCATCCTGTTGTCCATGGGACTTAAGAAGCATGTCAAAAGTACTGATCTAGCTGTCCTGTAATTGCATTGGCTGACAAACCGTCATCAAAATATCATATGTGCGAAGGGAAGCCAGTCTGAGATGGGAGACCAGCAAGAAAAGGTAAACAGAAATTATCTTGGTCTCTGAACTCAAATCACTGAGTCTTTAACATTAGACTCCAGTGTTTTCACATACTGCTATGCACCACTCAGGTCTTCATTGTTTTTCCATTTCTAAAACAGAGTTAATGATGTCTTTCTTAAAGCATGTCCAGAATATTATTAGCTGCTAATGCAATATAACTGTAGAGCAACAGATGTTACATTAGCTGCTAAGCATAGAAATTGCCTGTGTTCTAGTATGGCTTGTACTTCCTTTTACGCCAAGAAGTTCTCCTGGCAGGTTTGTATGTGACACCATCACAAAGACAGGAAAAGTATTTCTCTTGGGGAAAGGTATAGACAGACTGAGAGAAATGGGCTTCCTTTTCCTCAGGCAGAAGGTGAGTGAAGACCAGCTTAACCAGAGGAAAACTCTCCTGTCTCCCTACTCCCTATTTTCGTTTGAAAAGAACAGGAGCAGACTGCCTTAGAAATGATCTTACAGCTGCGGTTGGCTCGGTGCTGCGTAATACATTCATACTGATAGCTGGAGAAATTAAGGACTCCAGAAATGAATAAGAAAACCATAAAATCAACAGTCATTAGGAGATGAGAGGCAGCAGATCTGGTTCAATGCTCTGTACCATACACCATTATTTAGGAACATTTTGTATGAAGAGACAATTCATTTGAGCTGAGAACTGCTTATGTGAGTTTGTAGATTACATCTGTATCCTTAGCTTGAAAACTTTAAAATTATTGTTTTAAATATATACAGCCAGTTTCTCTGTTATCTACCTACTCTGGAGACTTATATTCTGGCTTCTGATTCTTATGCAACAAATGAGGTAATTGAAAATGGTTTTAATCCTCAGGGAAAAAAAAGACACACCTGGCATCTTTTTCTGACATCTGCAGTAAGAACTGAAGAGGAGCCAAATTTCCCCTGTTTCTGGGGTTACTTACTGGGCCCCAACTATGCTGACTGTAGACATAGAGAAAGGCTTGCTTGAGACATAAGGAAGAGTTGTTACGGGAAATAAAGGAAGCCTCAGCACAAGTCCTGGCAGGGGAATAAAGGAGCCCAATCAAATATTTGTCTGGATATGTTGTCTGACATCATAGTACAAAATCTGTATTGGAGGCAGAAGGAAATAATCTAGAAAAGAAGTATGCGGATTTCCAGTTTGTGATCCCCTTCCCAGTTTTCTCATATCTGATGAACATCACAGAAAACATCTCTTTTTGGAAGCTTGTGTTCTTGTTCTTTCTTCCCTTCAATTCCCTGGCATTCCTCATGGGAATGAACAACCGCCTGTACAAGAAGTTAGTGCTGACTTCTAGGGTATCAGCTGCTCCATAGTAAAGAACCTGCGCATTCCTTGCCACAGCAAATCTGAGGCAACCAGCTCTTCTTTCTTTAACAGACTACCTTGAATAATCTCAGATTTACTGCTGTATAAAAACATCCAGCATGTCACCCACAGGACAGGTAACTAGTAGGTTGAAGTCCAGTTCTGACAAATCTGAAAAGAGCACTTGAGTGGAATGAACAGCCTCGGGATGGGTTGTTCCATGTTGTAGTAACATGTATGTCTGTCACAGGAAAGCTGCCTTCTTGTACTTCAAAGACAAACAAGGTTCCACCAGTGGTGGCATTGAGTGTGAGAGGGCCTGAAGCATACAGCACCTTGCAGGCCCCACAGCTGGCCAGCATGACGGACTGCAGCTCCATCAGTGCCATCTACTGCAGAAGCCCAGAGGATCTTCTCATCCACCTGCCCCTCCTGGACAGCTACGCACAAAGGGAGCTCTGCCTCTGGTTTGGAGGGAGGTCTGCTGCATCAGCACTGCATGCTGGTGTCCTGTGTCCAGATTCGCAGTGCGACAGAGCAAGGTGATGGCTCTGCATAGTTTTGAACCGTGGTGGTTTCCATAGGCAAAGTGTGACATGGAGGCCAGACAGGCACCCAGCTAGTCATGCTCTGTCTTTACCAGCCTTTACCCATGCCAGCATGGGTGGCATGGATTAGTGGGAGGTGTCCCTGCCCATGGCAAGGGGTTGGAACTAGATGATATTAAGGTCCTTTCCAACCCTAACTATTCTATGATTCTATAATTCTGTTAAAGGTCTCAGTGAACAAGAGTGCAGGGTGGGAGCAGTCTTCCTACTTTTATAGCTCCAAACCAGTTACTACTCTGTGCAGACGTCCCTCTCTTACAGGACAGTCTCTTCTGCAGCACCTAATACGTGTGTCAAGGTGTCAGATGTGAGGCTCTTGCAGCTGCTCCCCACTACTTGTTTCCTGGTAGCTACACATGTAATTAATACCCTTGCAGCATCTGCTCTTGTGCCTGCTGTCCCATATCTAGCTGATCAGACTGATTTTAAACCTCCTCCAGCTGTGCCTGGTGCTGCGGACGGGCTGCAGGGTGTTAAAGATCCCTTTTCATCCTTGATACTGGGTGCCATGTGGCAACAAGCTAGAGGTGAGGAAATCCACAGCCCATGCAAAGTGCATCCATGTAGAATTAACTTGATGCTCATGGAGGGATTGTGTGTCAGAGTTCAGTTCTGCTGGGCCATGAACTCTCATCATTTTTACTTTAAAGATTTGAGAAAAATAAATTTGGCAAAGTTTCATTTTCTTCATTTATTTGTTGATTTTCCCCAGGGGTGCTTTTTTTGTCTTACAAAGATGATGAATTCTGCTCATCTCGTATAACTTAGCCAGTCCAGAGCACCATTACATTCTAAATAATGCACTTGTCTTTCTCCTAATGCTGGTGATTTGGTCCACTGGGGGACAAGGTACAAACTGCAACTCAGACTGCAGTTTTCAGATTATATTTGCAAATGCCATGGTCTCCTGGGAGTGAAAAACTAGGATGTATTCCAGCCAGCTCAGTGATGTCAAAGGATGAGGCAGGCAGCTTTGCCTGAGCAGCCTGTGCTTCCCAGACCCAGCCAAACAGTTTCACACACTGCAGTCTGAGTTGTTGTCAGCTCCTGGCTTTCAGAGCCACACCTTATGTTCACTGTGCTGTGATTTATGCTTGCGGGTATGCAGGGGTGTTGTGGAGGTTTCATCTCTGCCAGACTTGGTTGTTCGTGTTGTCCAACAGCAACCTTTAAAACTGGCTGAACTTGGGCTAAAGAACCAGAAGTGAGCAGCAGCTATGATGTGTACGTGGGTAGGAAAAGTTCTGGTGATGCGACCTGACACATTGCTCAGTTCCCAGATTTATTTGCCAAGCTGGCTACTCTGCATTAGCTATCTTTAACTGAACACAGAGAGCCTTGGGGGGAGTAATAGAAAAAGATGTTTAGTCAGAGAGACCTTGGGGCAGGTCATGTTATGGTCAAAGGATTGAAATGGCTTTCCCAGTAAAGTAGTTTTACCAAAGAAGCTTCTGCGGCCCTGGGTTTGTTGCAGAAAGTAGGTTTGAGTCAGAACCTGGTGTAACAGCTTTTAATATTTATTGCTTTTCTTTAACTCACACAGCCCTTTGTCAACTAGGGCAGAAGCAGATGAAGAACAGGTTGATATCCAGGGCATGGTGCTGTCTCAACCTCTAGCAATGCTTGTCTCAAGTACCTAAGGTCAGTGTTAGGGAACGAATTGTGAGGTGTTACGGTTCTCTGACAATATTACCTTACTGCAGTGCACCTGTGTCAGGACATTCTGCCCCACTGGATTGCTCAGTGCTGTAACCTGGCCAATTCTAGAGGCGAAAATGAATTTCTAGTGAAACCCTGCTGCTTAAAATGAAGTGACAGAGGAGCATGATCATGTCATTCTCCTTGTGGGAGGAGATGCTGGAGTCCTGTAGGCTGCTTAGCTTTCACTGAAAGGTAAAAAAAGAAGAAACAAGACAACACCCCACGGGAAATGTCTGCATGGGACCTGATCTGCAAAGAAACAGTCACGTGAAAGACCTACCAGTGCCCTTAAACTGCATGTTTAACTGATTAGAGGTCACCTACCTCTACTGGTTGAAGAGTTGTTGTTGAGAGGATGAAATGGTTAAGACTTCATTTAGGGCAAGACTGACCACACAATCACAAAGGAAAGTACTTCATAGGGCTGATATTAACTGGCTATCACTTGCCCCTGCCCAAATCCCCCTTGTCTCTTTCTTACGATGGTGTATAACTCAAGTAGCCTGGCAGACAGCCATTGGCTTTGTGCTATTTGGGATTGGTATCGATGGCAGCTGGTTGCTGCTGATGGAATGAGTCACATTCTCTGCCTCCCCTTCCTTTTATGGCCATTAATGATTCACATTTGATGTGGGCTGCTGAGTTACACCACACCACGTTCCATCTGTATTTGGGCTCAGGAAGTCACTTTTAAGCTTTGCTCCTCAGATAGATAACTCTTATCGTGACTCTTGGAAGAGAAGCTGAAAATGTGGTCTGGGAGCAGACACCCTGGGGTGTTTAAAGGAAATGAAACTCACCGACTCCTTCCCTCAGGTTTCCAGCAGCTTCTCTTTGAGACAGGAAGATAAATCCCTGCAGAACATTCAGAACAGATACACTGCAGCTCCCACCAAGTATATCTGCCCCTCCTAAGTAATCAGACCTTTACTAACCCTAGCAGGTGTTCTTGTTCACAGAATCCCAGACTGGTTTGGGTTGGAAGGGACCTTAAAGCTCATCCAGTTCTACCCCCCTGCCACAGGCAGGAACACCTTCCACTAGACCAGGCTGTTCAAAACTGATTTCGATATGTGTATTACGTAAAAGATGCTTGGGTTTTAAAGTGTTATCAACTACAGAGGAAATAAAATCTTACCACCTGCAACTCTGAATTTTGTCAGTTCACATATAATTAATGTGGCACCAATGTCAGTCTGGCTCAAAGCCAGCAGAATTAAAGCCAAAACCCTAAAGAGACATTTTAGGCAAAGTACCCTGCCTGTCCCATCTTTGGTAATAGACGTAAACTTTCCCTTGCTCTGTTGCAATGGCTTTGAACTACCAGGTCAGATTCCTGGGGGTGCAGATATTCCTATATAAAGTCCAGAACCAAAAGAAACATTCACTGTTGATAGTCCTGCCCCCAAATCACAAGTGTAATTGGGACACAGAAACTAAAATACTCCAACCTCATTATATCATTTGATCAGAGCTAAAAGTGAATAATGGGACAGTGTAGAAGAAACCCATGTAGAAGTGATACTGAGGATTTCTCTTCAGAGCTCACTCTTGGCAGGCTATGGAGATCTGAATGTACATTGTGTGCAGAATAAAAAGCTATAGTAGGACTAGGGCAGTGTAGTAATGAAGGTGGTGTTAAAAGCAGAGACTCGTGATAAGATTAGAGCAAAGTGAAGACCTCAGATCAGAGGCTTCAAGGAAAAGTCTTGAGCTTGTCCTGGAGTACCTAAATGGGGCTTAGACACTGCTCAGGAGGTCTTGTAGGCTCTTTCCCCTAAGTTGGCTCATAGCATTTGTTGTCACCAAAGGCAGTGAGTTTGGGATTGAACTTGGGAAACAGGAGCCTAAAAACCCAAGGTTCTAACCCGATGTAAACTCCAGTTGCTTCTACAACCTTATTTACTGGGATGAGGGATACAAGGAGAGAATGAGCAGCCAGACCTAGTGGATGAGAACTGGGTAGGAGAGAAAAGGCTGATACCATTATCATAATAACCAAGGACAGGAGCCACAGGAGGTACCAAACCAAAGAGTGAGGTGAGGTTATGATCACAAACTGGTCCAAAGATTCAGGAGCTTGTGCTGCAAGGCAAGCTCTGGGGAAAGGTTAAAGACAAGACTAAAGAAGGAACAAGAGGAAACAGAAAGGTAACAGCTCAAACAGCCTGGCAGGGACTGATGTGAACTGAGAGCACAGATACCCCAAAGGTAGGTGAGTAGCTATTAGATAACTAGATGGACCTGATGAGATGGACTGTCTGGGGTAGATGATTCATAAAGATATTATTGATGATGCCATAAGCTTTGCCATTCTAGGTTGGCATCTGACAGCAGTCATTATGAGCTGGATAGAGCAAATAAACTAGAAAATACAGTGTCACCATTTGGGATGTGGATCAAGTTGGAACTAGTCACTGTCAGAGTTGTCTTGCAGTGATACCATAGCTTCTGTAAGAATAATATGCTGCTTTTCTTACCCTCTTTTTGATCTAGGGGATGTCATTTTGATGGTGTCACCTGTGATATCTCCTTGTGCATATGGTAATGCGATTTCAGTCTGTACTCATCGGGGGTTTGTCCTGCGAGGAGTCAGACAGCTGCAGCTTTCACCTGAGCAAGCTGCTGTGCTGAGCATGACACAAAGTCAGGTACTGGAATGAACGCATAGCTCAGCTGTGTAATTTGTGTCATTTTTCTTTAGTAGGGAAATCCCACCAGGCCTCAGCCTCTCACTGAGAACAGAAGTGTAAATTCATAATTGGGCCTCCTCCTCCTCCATGTTTGCCTACTCCAAGTGGCAGACATGAATTTTACCACTGACTTCAAAATAAGCAAGAACATGCAGTAGCCCCATAAACCAAAACAACAATTTCAGATCTGCAAAGGTGTATATTCAGGAGAATAGTCCTTGTCTGACAGATTCATGTTTGATTGTGTGCTTCACAGTCCCTGTGGGACTGCTTGTGGCCTTTCAGCATGAAGTCTCCTGGTTTAATGCATTCCAGATGGATTGCAAAAAGAGCTTTCTTATTGTCAAAAATAATGACTTTTCTTCTTTTTCTGTGAAGCTCTAACCTGATGATAGATTTGAGTTAGAGTGCAGTTGGCATTTTGACAAGTCAGCCAAAGGAAACAGCAATAATCATAGATAGAAGATTTCAATCAAGCTTGACATATGCAAGAAGTCCAGATCTGCACTTCTTAACATGATAAGTCACCCAGGAATCCTGTGATGCTTTCTTTTACCAAGGAGTGGACCCCTTACTCTAAATTACCATGCTTCGAGTCATTTGCCATGTCAATCAAGAGATGCATAATTTTGCAAACTAAATGGAGTACAACCACTCTCTTCTCTAGTTGTTCTAGTTGATCAAGCCTGAGGAATAATGCTTTCTGTGCCCATAATATTTTGTGGAATAAACATGACTTATCTACAGAATACTACAGCACAAATAGCTAAACACTGTGAGTATGCTCCTAAATGGCCATTTAAGAGAATAACAAGAGAAACTATTGCTTCAGTGTGCTGTCTGAAGCTAAATGTTTCTGAAAAATTATCCCTTTGTTTGGGATTCAAGATCATTTTTGCATGAGTGACAGGATGGCACCACATATCAGCTGAGTTATAGGTGTTGTGGTTTTAGTCCAGCCCAATTGCAGGGCAGAACATTTTTATGTTAAGCCTCTTCCCTGAGGTTTAAATTTTCTTTGTCTCCTCAGTAGATGACACATGAAAGTAGTTTAATGTGGCCCTCATTATTGCAGGTGGCTGTATTTTGCCCTAGAAAGATTTCAAGTTCTCCTGACAGTTCTGTAACAGGAGAGTTCTCTGCTGAACCACACATGCACTGTCTTGTTTTCCTGCTGAGGAAGAAGAATGCTTGTCATCACATTCCTGCACTGGTGAAAGGTAATACCTCCACTGCTCAACAACCTGGGAAAAGGAGGGTTGCATTTCAGTGCATGTGAACTAAACATTAGCGGACTAACCATGGCTGTTGCATTGCAGGGAATATTTATTGGGAGTAGCAGGGCCCGGTAGTTTTGCCATACATATCTCCAGACCAAGGTGTAACTCAGTCACTGCTACATATCCAACAGAGCAGATTGATCTATGCCAGGTTTTTGATCTTTAGCACTGGAGTCTTCTTGAACACAAAGTAATTCATTTTGGAAGAGACCTTAGAAGTTCTTTCATCCAGTGTCCTGCTCAATCCAGCAGTAACTCTGAACTGAACTGTAAGGACTGCCAAAACCCAGAAAAAAATGCTGCCCCAAATCATCTTACTTGAATCAGACACTGTTCTGAGACTCTGATTCAGGAAAAGTCTCTGAAGTATGAGCTGTCATTGTTCTCAAGCAGGGAAGATCACAGGCAACAGGGGTGATCAGTAGGGAACAAAGAACCCTGCCCTGCCTGTTTCTTCTTGCTCTGGCAGCAGGCACTTTGCCTGCAGCAGGATTGTTCATTCCTGCATGTCCTCTTCAGGCACCACTGCTGAGAGCAGAGGGTTACTGTTGCTGGCCCCTCCATTAATGCCACTTCAAATAGCACATGATGGAGATATGCAGCCACTGCTCAATTGCTGCCTTTAATCTATCCATAAGAGAAAAGAACATTTAGAAGTGTGGGTAAAAATGACAGTTCAAAAAGGCCTCTGTTTTTTCTGCTAAGACTATCACAGAATGTTCCGAAAGCAGACTAATTACAGCACCGTGTCACCTGCTGCCTATAGACCCAAGGAAGGTTGCTCATTATAGTACAGTTTCTGCTGCTGTTCTCAGAGTGCCACAGATGATGTTTACAGTGTTTACATGTTTTGCACAGGGAAATTTCTGCTAGAAATATATAGGTGGGCACTGGAGCAAAAGATATTCTGGAAAGGTAAACATTGTCCCTCACTGTAGAGAGCCATTTCTTATGGAAAGCTGACATTCTTGCCACACAAACTTTGGTTTGGCCTCTGGGAAGTGTAGAATAGCACTAGAATTTGAGTAGGGTAAATACCACACTGAGAAGTTTTGCATTTATAATCAGTACCCCTGAAGAGCAGTTACCCCTTCAAGGTCTTGACCGCTCTTCAATTGTCAAAGTAAGAAAACATTCAAATCCTTGCTGAATCGTTGCAAATCGTTCCTGAAATAGAACAAAGGTAAGTGTCCTTGGTATTGGACCTCTGTCTTGAGGATCAAACACCATAAATTTTTGTCCAAGCTTTACCTTTTGCCACACATTGAGTTTGAGTAAACAGCAAGTAATGCTGCTGCTGTGGTTTGGTTACTCACGGCACCTGAATTTTGAAAAGCAGATACGTGATTGCCAGTGATACAGGCTCAAATTCATGGTCAGAGCTATGTTTGACATCCAAGGTTTGTGATCAGCCTCTAGCACTAATAATCCATTCCTCACGCTACACTACAGTAGATTTTTGACAGGCTTGTATGGTAGAAAGACATAAAATGTATACAAAGTAATTTAAAAAATAACAAGCCTTTAAAACCGTGGTCTGAAATATTATTACAGAAGGCTGAACTAATTGTAGAAGTGAACTGTATGCCAGTGCCTTAATGCACTGCCTGTGCATAGCCAGGCCTTTTAGAGGGAGAACAGGAACTGAGAGATTGCTGTTTTCTAGCACTTAGTGTCATCCTAGCAATGCCTCTCAGGCCCCATGGTTCTGGGAGGGATGCAGGATACTGGCCTTGCACTTTGAGGGCCTGCACTTGGGCACTGGGTTCCAGGTTTGTGACTTTTCTTCCTCGTGGCACCACCTTATTTGAGAGACTTCTTATAAGTCAAGAGCAGTGTAGCATCTTTGATGCATTTGTTCCATGTTTTGATTCACAGCAGGAGGTAGAAGGTAATAGAAATGACTGGGGTGCTGGTCACAAAGCAGAGGTATTTCCAGAGAAAGCTGTGGCCAAGCCTCAGTTTTCAACAGCTGTTGCCCTGCTTTAACTGAATGTGATCTGGGGGAGAGAGGATGATTAAGGTGCATTTCATGTCTCTTAAGTAAGCTCAGCATGACCCTCATTAACATCTCTGTAATGGAACTGTGATCAGATGAATCCAAACACCTGATAATGTCACTGAAATCTGGCAAATAAGCTCAGTGAAATACTGATTTAATTTTGTATCAATAAGAAGAGTGTTTTCGTCTCGGAAACATCACAGAACTCTGTATTCCTCACATTTTGTTCTGTTCTATATATAGGACTGATGGATGAACTGGCAAAGCAAGGCCATGTGCAGAGCAGCCAGGCTCCCACTGCCCAGCCCAACCCCTCCATGTGGTTTCATGTGGCTCCTTACACGGAGACCTTGCTGCAGGCACTGGGTAGGTCAAAGCTATGGGAAGTGCATTGTTCTGGGGTTTTCAAGGTCTGACAACCTTATTAGGGGATTTTTCTGAATTAGGAGTTCATTAGGAATATGCTTGTCTATAATAACTCATTTAGTGTTCTGCTGTCTGTCAGTCATACTAACTGTTATTAGATGTCTTCTGTTGCTGGGTAATGATGGAAGAATCAATAGAAAAATTAAACGGAAATACCTTTGTAAAGTAAATTAAAAAGCATGTGGAAAAATAAATTATTCAAATGTGACATGATAACAACCAGTTAAGCCTTAAGCCACAATTAAAAGCCTAATAACCAATCAATTTGTATTTATTGCCATAGTCTCAAGTGAAGTCAAACTACTGAACTGTGATTAACTGGTGGTTAAGGGTGTTAAACTAGAATTTGCTGCAGTGATAACTGTTGTCAGCTGTAGTTCTTTCAGAGATGCAGGGAAAGCGCTTTTCCATTTCGCTTAGATGTTCTGAATTTTAGTTTCTGCAGTTTAATTCACTTCAGTAACTCATGCATTCAAAGCTGAGAAACTGATAGGACTTGAAAAAAGCAAGTAAATGTGTTTTCTGTTATAACTCTATGACTCAGACGGGTAGGAGAGTCTTAAACCTCCTAGTTCTAGACAAGAGGCCCGAAGAAGCTTAAGCAAGCAAGATAGCTGGAATTCACTGAGTTAATGAGAACTGTGGACTGTTGGCAAGCTTTCAAGATCAAGTTCTCACACCTGTGCTTAACCAATTATATGCTAGTTGCAAAGGGTCTTCAAGACTTGTATCCAATTATAATATGCCAAATCACTGTAAGTGCATGTAAGAAATAGTATATAAGGAGTTAAGGCTTTGTAATAAATTTGGCAATTGCTTGATCACATTGATCGTCTCTGCTTTGTCCGTGACTCCCGCGTCAACAAGTGGCGCCTGAACAGGGACCCTCCGGTCGGTAACTCAACAAAGATGAGTTTGAAGGTCCGACGAAAAGGAGGGGACAGAGAGCCGGCCGAAATTCAGGGCTGCCCCGGCACTGAGAAGTCAGACGTCTGCAAAACTTTGGGAATCTCGCCCTGATCAGGTGAGCGGCCGGGGAGGAGATGGGGCACTCACTATCCAAAGAGGAACAGGCAGTGGTGAAGCTCCTCCAACACATTCTCTCTAAGAGAGGACTGCAATATGATAGTGCCGCCTTACAGAGGCCGTTAAAGTGGTCCCGTAATCGTGAGGTTAGTAAAGGGACCAAAGGTGCACAGAAACACTCTACACTTTGGAGATTGGTGTTAGAGACTTTGAAAGAGATGAAATTGGAAAGGGCGGCGGTAGCTTCTGTATTTGCCGCCACAGCTCCAGAAGGGGCTGTCTCCCCTAACCCCCATCATAGTGCTGCAGCCATGACTTTTGCACCTCCTGTGGTACCTGGAACGGCACTGAAATATCAACGCCCCGAGCCAATGAAAGCAAGAGCCAGGTCCGCAGATGGCCACGTACCGAACGAGACACCTGACAAGAAAGACATAGCTGCGAACAACGGAGACCCTGAGTTCGACTCCGAGTCCCCTGAATCTGAGCCAGATTTATATCCTCTGCTTCCAGACTCTGACTCATCGTCTCCCGGGTCAGTCTGCTCAGCTCATCAGCAACTACTCACTGGCCTTGGAGACACTCAGCTGCAACAATTGATGAAAAAGCTTGAAGCCCTCAAGACTTGGATTGACACATCTCTATCGGTGCCTCCACCTTATCCTCCGCAAAACCCCTTCCTTAAAGAAGGCAAACAGGGGGAGGGGGTGGGAGAGGTATCGGGGGGCACAAATCCTGCGCACCATTGGCACAGGTTAATCAAAGATGCAATTATTACAGGTGAATTTTTTGCAATGGGCCTCTCTGCATATCCTGTGTTTACTGCACAGCAGGGGGGTAAAGAGTGGGAAGCTTTTGATCTCAAAATAATTAAGGAGGCCTGACAAGCAGTGACCACATATGGGTTAAAATCCTCTTATACTCAAGCTATATATGTTATGATTTTTTTGTGCAATTGACAGGAGACTTTGATGACCCCCCCCGCTATAATACATGGTCAAGCATTAGGTTCAGGTTATATGACTAAAACTCTGGGTATTCTGGTCCAGTACAAGGATTTGGAAACCGGCATTTGGAAAGGTCCTGTGAAAGTAAAACCAACTGGCTGAGGTTTTATGTGTGTAAATTACAGATTCCGGTTTGCGGTGGGTGCCAGCTCGATGGGTGAAACCCTGGAAAGAGTCAGCATCACCCCAGGACACCCCCCTTGTCAGTGATTGAATTAACTGAAATTTGAGCTCAGGACATCCTTTTTATGGACGTTTTCAGCCTTTCTTAAAGTGAAGCGAGCAACCTTTTTTTACAGTAAAAAAAAAAAAAGAAAACAAAAACACAACAGAAAAAAACACCCACCACCACCACCCCCCTCCCCCAGGGAAGTGAGATCAGCGCGGGATACAGACGTATTGTGTGATTTTCTGGTGGTGGGAAGGTCTCTCATATGCTCTTATCAGGGGTATTGGGCATACTGTGACGGACCCTGGCCTTGGGATCCCTTATGCAACTCATTTGATAAAGTCTCTCTGTGATACTCATGTACTAGAAGTTGGTGAATATAAGTATGTCCACGTTTCTATCGACCTTTGGAGACCTTTATAGATATTGCTGGCCACTTCTTCCAACATAGGCTGGCCACCTGTGCTGGAATGAGTGTGCATTTTGGTCAGTATAAAAGCCCAAGCCTCATGTGCTGTGGGGGAGGCAGAGCCTCTGCAGGGATGCCCGCTAAGGTTGAGCCTGCCACCTCACACTCCAATGATGCTTCTCGGAGCTGGTTTCCTGTTAGTCTCCACAGGGTCCTTGTGCCACGGTCTGTACGTGGAACTGTAGTGGGAGTAATGATTGTCTGGATTTTGTGCTTCAAATATTGTACTTGTATGGAGTGTGCTTGTGGGATCCCACACGTGTGTGTGTGTGTTGAGGGCAGACGGTGTTCTGTGTATTTTTTGGTGTTGGGTTCATGTAAAAGTTTTTAACCAGTAGCAGTTTAACATTTCGGGCAAGAAAGGGTTAATGCAAAAGTGCGGTTGCCGGTTGCCAGCAGGTATTTATGGCTGCTGCTGAAGCAGGCAGGCAGGCAGCTGTAGCTGCTGCTGAGCAGGCTGGCGTTTGTAGCTGTGCAAAGCAGGCTGAGTGACTTTTGTAGAAAAAAAACAACAAAGAAACAAACAAAAAAAAAACAACAAAAGAAAAGCTGACCTCCGATTCAGCTCCCGGTGCTCCACCAGCGGAATGGCCAGAATAGATGCCAGAGCCAAGGAGTGAAGGGAAAAAAAAACAAAAGAAAAAAACAAAAAAAAAACAACAAACCAACAAAACAAACAAACAAAAAACAACAAAACCCAACCTCTCAATCTATTGAGGTATTGAGGCAGTTTGTAGAGACACCACAGACAAAGCCTAAAGAGCACCTGCAACACAGTGGGTGCATGGTAGGAGCCTTGCTTATTATGTTTAAGGTAACCTGGGGGTGAATCCAAGATGAATATTGGATGAATAGAGGAATAGATAGATCGGTTGAAATAAGAACTGCTAACTGAAAAAGCGAGAGGGGTAGTGCAACCACAAGCTTTATGGGCCGTAATCTAAGCAGCATCAGGGTGGCAGAAAAAAAAAAAAAGAGGCAATGATGCAGCAAACTCTGTGACTGTTAACAATGTGCAGTTTAACCTGTCTGCTTCTCAAGAACTGATAACCTGGGGGAGGGGGTATATTTGTGTCCTAATGACTACAGGTCCATGGCGACTGCCTGCAAAGTTTGTGAAGCCTTGCCATGAGCTGGACAGACGAATGGAAAAACCTGATGCCTCAGCTACAGGAGCTGACCGTGAATACCCCAAGCAGAATGTGATAGAGGAAGAGAAAAACGAATGATTGCAAAACATCACTTGGGGGCAACTGAAAAGTAACATCCTGAATATGTGTGCTTGTAAAGTAGCTATTATTAGAGGCTGTGATTTTGTGTATAAAACCACCTGTATTTACTAGCCAGTTGCTAATGAGGAACTACACCTTGTATTGTATAGATTTGTCACTTGTAAAAGAGATGTTAGAGTATGGAAATTTGCAGTAGCTGCTAGAAAATGCTAAGGCAAAAGCTGGAAAGATTCTAATACAATGGTAGTGTTATAAAGCAGGTGATGGAACAAATTAAGAGGGTGGGAGAATTCCACTGGTAAGAAATATCTTTGGCTAGTCCCTCGCTGCCATCAGCATCTTCAACATGCTGCTGCACCCTGTAATAGTTACTCTGCTAATGTAAATTTGTGTGTGCCTTGCTGTAGTAGCGACTTGTTACTGGATGAAGCAGGTGAAACTCTGCATTGACAACAAGGTGCAAGGACTGAGGCTGACAAAATGCCTGCTACCACAGTCAAGGGCAAGACTGGGTTGGCCTCTGTGTTTGCCACCAAGAAGAACCTTTAGCTCCGCTGTTGGCTGCAACCCAGCAAGCGTGGACACATGCCATGCCAGGCCTTGATGTGAAGGATGGCCTCCCCTGTTATCAGAGAGCCATACGGCAGAAAAAAGGGGCAGGCCCAGCAGCCTGTAGTTGGCATATGTTGGAGATATGATCTAGGCCAAATCCCCTGCTCAAGTAGGGTCACCCAAAACATATATAAAACAAAAAGGGGGAGATGTGGAGGCAGTGTTCTCACGGGAGAATGGATAATTGGTACATAAATTCTGAATAATCCTGAAAGATACAGCAAGGCCATGAGAGGCCCGAAGAAGCTTAAGCAAGCAAGATAAGAAGAAGCTGGATTTCACTGAGGTAATGAGAACTGCGGACTGTTGACAATACCCCATTACATTGCTCTGGATTTTTTCTGCAATAGAACCTATGCTTCTGATCTTGAAATGGAGCAAGCTGTCATGCTGGCAGTGGTTGGAACAGATGCTATGAAGAGTGCTGGAGAGCTCCTTCACCAGATCCTTCTTCCTGGGCAAGGAGATTCTAGCTGACAGAACCTTCCAGCAACATGCACTTATGGATTGAGCCCCTAAATATCTTGCTACATGGGATGTAAGACTACTTTACAAGCACAACAACATTTAAGCTACTTTAGAGACAAGTTGGTGTTAAATTGTAGCTTATTACTATAATCAATATAGCTTAAAATGGAACATCATGAGAGGTAGTAAAGGATCTATAATTATGGATTATAGTGTGTCAAACCACATTGTTATCAGTGTTTTCTCCCTTTCAACTCTTCTCCGCTAGTTGTGTTCTCTAATCAAATCATGACACTTATGCTCCATGGCTCCCTGTTGATTTCCCAGATAGCCCATCTTTCATTTCACTGTAATGTAATTCCTAGCATTTGTATCTTGTGGATTTTCCATGTACATTTCTGTATCTGCATTACAGTATATTTGCAACAGGTGGCAAAGCTTTGGAACTTGTCTAGTAAAAAAAAAATCCATGCGAATTTAGAACACTTGTCTCCAAAAGAAAAACAGCTTTTATGAAACACATGTTACCAACTGAACAGATGCTAACCAGATTTCTCTTCACTTGTAGAAGAACACTGTTTGGGATTTGAGCTCCTTGGTCTCAAATGGTTGTCCCATCTCACTTGGTGTCAGGCCAAAGAAGTAACCCCTTTTGAAGTTGGAGATACTTCCTGGCAAAGCAGCCTTGACACGCTAGTGTCAAACCCAGTCCTTGTGTGTGCATTACTGCAGATCAACGCCTTCAGAGTTCTTGCAGATGCATTGGAGAGATTAACACAATGGAGAGAGAAGCTGAGCAAAAGTGGCAGTCTTCTACAGGTAGTAATGGCCCTGACCCCAGAGGTGACATTCAGGCAAGCCATCCTCTTCTTCACAGAGGCAAGAGTTTGTAACTGGTAAGACATGGTTCTGCTGTTTATAATGTCCTTAGGTATAAGGTGCTCAGGAATTTATTGAACCTGAACAAAGGAATCCTGTGCTGTGAGTTTTTCTCAGGCACAGAAAAGTGTAATAACTTGGGGTTAAATTCTGTGCTTGGCTGAGTAATGATGAGGGATATGAAATCAGCAGGAGCCAGTTGAGGTCATCTACAAGTTAGCCTATTAATTTCATGTGGGCATGGCCTGGTGCCCTCTCTAAAGATCTTGAGGTATTCCATAAATACTAAATTGATATTACAGTAGTTGGCAGGACCAGTAAATAATACTGTAGGTTTTGTCTCTGTATATAAGGGAAACTTAGAAACAAGAGGCCAAGATCTATCCCAATTAAATGTGGCCACCTATTTGTTGTGCCTAACTTGCTGAGGCAAATACCCCAGTCTTGTTCTTTACTTGGGGAGCCAAAGGTACAACCATTCTGCAACAGCTAAAGAAAGCAGATTTCTTGAGAATTACTTTTCATCACAGAAAAGAATGAACAGTTCATTCATGACAGAGGGGAGATTGAGATAAGCTCTTAGGCAGAAGTTCTTCCCTGTGATGGTGCTGAGGAGTTGGTACAGGTTGCCCAGAGAAGCTGTGGTTGCCCCATCCCTGGCAGGGCTCAAGGCCAGGTTGCACAGGGCTTGGAGCAACCTGGTCTAGTGGAAGGTGTCCCTGCCCATGACAGGGGGTTGGAACTAGATGATCTTAAGGTCCTTTCCAATCCAAACCATTCTACTATGAGGAAAGAAGACCGCTGTCAAAAGCCTCTCTGACTTCAGTGATATATGCTAGCATTGATCATTCAGCTTAGTAAACTTGAGAGTTTCCTCACAAAATAAGAAATGTAGGCTCATGCCTCTAAGCTAAATTGATGCTCAGACTATGGTGTTACTGATATTGGGTGCTTTGGAGCAGCAGAGTATGAGCTCTCACTGTTTTCTTCCAATGTGAAATATATTGGCGTATCACCTTCATTCTTGGGGTTGCCTGACTCCTCACACCTCAAGATAAACAGTTCTGAGCCTGACAATTCTTGATTATTCAGAAACAGAGAGAAATTAAGATTGTGGTAATACCATATATGAACTGAGCAGGAGTGACGCAGTTCCAGAAGTGCATTCATGCTTTGTAATTTATAGCTCTCCCCTACCTTTCTGTGAGGAAGAAAGGTCCTTTGTTTTCAATAAACTTAGATACTCATGTCAAACACACAGTGGTTATGTAGTGCGGAGTAAAAAATTTGCTTTCCTAAATAGAAAAAAGAAAATGTGATGGCGTCTGGGAAAAGACAGTGAATTATGTGGGTGGTTTATGTGAGACAGGAGAACAAGAAAAAGAGGCCTTCAGAAAAGAAGGCACCAGACATCCCAAATTAGTGCATAAAACTGTAAGAATTGATGCATTGCTGCCCTTCATTAAAGATATCTTGAGACCAAAAGACAGGATAAGATGAAAGCACAACTGTGAGATCAGTTTATTGAGGAAGGTTGTAATCACAGTGCCAGCCTTTCCCACCAAAGCCGTTGTCAAGGGCAAAGGAGCATAGCTGAAGCATGGCTCCAGCATCTTGCACTCTTTTACAAGTTTCCTCCTGTTTTTATTGTGGGATGAATGGTGAGGTGTTTGTGTGGATAACAGCTCTGCAATATTTTGCAGCTGGTCAAATGTTTGCCATTTTCCCTGCTAAATAAAATCACCTTTGTCACCCCTCATGCCCCCAGACAGAGAAGGTTCCCATCTATGAATCCATAACAATACATCTCCTTCCTTTTATAGATGCAGAACACCACCCTGCTATGAAATACCTGCCACCACCTGGCAAGAGGGCCAGGGCTGAAGGTAAGACCAGAAGTTATGCACCAGTTGCCTCTTAGATATACCCAAATAATTTTATACTCACAGATTTAAGAAAACTATAACCCTGTGTCCTCTGACAGAGTCATTAAAATGGGATTAGTAAACCTCTAGTTAGACATCAGAATCCCAGGCAATTAGGAAGCAAAGGACAGAGGGGTCCACTTGGTACTGGGGGAAGGTGGTAGTGTTGCCAGATCACCTTTCCTCCATGAAGTTCTCTGTGTGCTTGGATGTAGCCTACCTAGGGTTGGCGTGGAATGTAGGTTAGAAGAGCAACTAATGGCTTCTCTATAGTAGCCCTTTTCAAATGCAGATCTCAAAAAATACTAGTTTCAGGATGTTTTACAGAGGGGTAATTGAAACCTAGAGAGGTGAAATGTGTTGACCACCATTCCCTAACAAGTGAGTGACAGAAATGGGAGCAGAATGCCATTTCCTTAGTCTCATACAAGGGACTCTAACTTTTGAATTATAGTGCCATCCAAGTCACCACAGAATTCACAGGTCCTACAAGTTTTTCAATACTAAAGAAAAAAGATTGTTACTGTCAGGATGTGAGCTAAAAAGTTAGAGGTAAGGACCCTGGAGCTGGCTCCTTCTATGTACTCTTATTATTCTAGCAAAATACATGACAGATGTGGAAAAAGGTCTCATTAAAAGGAAAGAACACTTTGCCTAGATACCTTCCAGATACATTGCCCTGGGAAACAGAAATACAGGGATTTCAGACAGTAATAAATACAAAGAAATGGTAATTTTGTTTTGACAAACAGATTTTAGTTTTCTCTTATCTACTTTGGATGTCACACTGCTTAAGTGTGTCAGTCCCTGGAAAGGAAGTCCTTTATCAGCCTGATGCAAGCTTCTCATTTGTACCCCAGTCCTAGATAACTTCTGGAGTCACATGTGCCTTGAAGTGCTTTAAATTTTCCTCACCTCCCCAGGACACTGCAGGTTTTACATTAGACTGAAGGAAACATTTTTTATATAGGCTTTTGTTGTAAGATCTTCCTCACCAGGCTCCTTTTGTACTGCTCTGTTCTTATGAGGAACTACTAAAGCGGCATTCCTGGCTGCTGGGAAATGTCAGTGGCATTTTATCAGCAGAGCTGAGGAGAGGACTGAACCACAGTTCTGAGCTCAGTAGGTGTGTTATCAGAAGACAGAGCCTTTCTTTGCTTCCAAGGGCACAAGAGAGGACATTAAACAAAACACCTGAGCTTCTAGGACTTACACTGGAAACATCTAACTTGACTGAGAAACCTTGGGATCACACCATTAGCCACTCTCTGAAATACAGAAAAGGTAACAGAATCAACAGGATTTAGTACTTGCAGGCCTTTACAGCAAGGCTTGGACTTACTGGAGAAGTGGGAAGAACATCGCCCCGGGCATCCCAGTACATCCCAACAGCTGAAAGCAAGCCATGAGTGACCCATGAGTTATAATGCTTTAGAATGTGTCATAGCGGCATTATGTAGAGATGATGGCTACATTCTCAAATTATTGTCCCAACACATGCACAGCACTTACTCAATTTTTTCTTCTTTTCTCATTTAGTGGGAGAGAGGCAGAGATGCCACACAGAATCTCTGTTCATCTGCTTGCAAACAGGTGAGAGAAAAGCAAAGGGGAAAACGTGGTTTGGGAAGGACTTTGTGGAACTAACTTGTCTAACAGCCAAAAATAAGTAAAAAACATTATACCAACTTCTTCTTCAGGCTTGAGTACAGGCAGGGATATACACTCTCTTTTCTGAACGTGCCAGGAAATCTGGTATTTGCTTCTCTTGAGTCTGCACTTATTTTAAGCCCCACACAGATGTAGATTATTGCATATAGATAGCATATGAAATAGTATTTTTCACAGTTACACTATGAAATCAAAACCTATGTAATATTTCTGGGGGGAAAAAAATCACTGGCTTTGAGGAAAGGATCTAAAAACATAATGAAGCAGGAAAACATAAAAAAATAGCAGGCAACTTTGGCAAACCTGGAAAGGCCACTAAGCAGCCAGGGCTGGAGATGAAAATCAGGCACATCTGAGAGCTGCCAAAGAGGCATTTTCTCTTGCTGTTGTTACTTATAATCACCGAGGAGATAAAATCAACTCCAGGTGACAAGGTGTTCCCCCCCGTTTTCAACACTTGTCTTCGGGCAAACAAAGATGGCAAAGTGACACAAAACAAATCCCTCCTGAAGTGTCTGAAGTCAACAAATGCAGTATGTAATGTTTCACATACCGCAGGAATAAGAATGTTTGCCCAGAAACATAGCAGATGGCAAGTAAAACATCTGGAGGACAATGAGGACTCATGTAACAGCACACAGCTGAGATTGCTGTTCAGTGTGCAAGCAGCTGAATGCTTCTGAGTAGCTTGCTTTACTCCTGCACTTGCAGGCTGTTGCTATGGCATTTAAACCTTTCTGTTCAAGAATGATGTGAATAAAATGGCAGATCTCTAAGAGGGCTCCCTGCATGATAAGGGTTAAGTTTCCATATCAAGTGGGGGAGCAGTAATATAATTTTTTAGTTTTGATCCCATATTTCTGTCATGAATCAGTACCATGCCATTTAGAAGTAACAGTATGCATTAAATTATATGTAGTGTTGATGTTTCATTGCATTGACATTTGTATAAATAGTAGTGGGGATACGGGAAGCATAAAATGACACTTTATGTATACAAACAGCTAACCATGGATGAGTGTGAGCAGCCTGCAGTACTGTAACCTCATGCTTCATGCTAGTTGCCATAGTTAGGCACCAGCAGTTAATGGACCCTAACTGGCTGGTTCTGACACTACTGTTGTCAATAAATCTTCAAAGGTTGTTCAAAGATTTATTAGGATATTGGGAATCTTAACTATATTCCTAGTTACAAAGCACTTTAGCAAAACTAGTAGATTGAAAATGCTGCCATTTAAAAATGAAATGTCTCTGCTTTCTGCCTTTTAATGCAGTTGATATCATCAGACAGCAAAACTCTCTTGGCCTGGTTTGTTCTGTTTCTCCCAGCACACAGAGCTGCACCTCGCTGGCAGTTCTGCTGGGGCAGCTTTGTCAGGAGCAAAAGGGGTTTTGCTGAAATCTCAGTTTTACTAAGCACAATTCTGTTTGTAATAGGTTTATAACATTAATTGAGACCTGTCATGCTTGTTAGTGCCTCTCTGAAACATAACTCTAACAGATAGCGAAAGCAAAACAGTGAGGAATGAGAATTTAATAGCTGCCTTAAGGATTATATCACATAATCACTACAGTTGACATGAAAAATGTAAAAGAGAATATTTTATCCCTCTTAAAACTTTCATATTAATATAAAGAACTGAGTCTTATCCTACAGACCTTCCACGTTAAAGTCGTGGACTCAAAGCAGATATCCTGGGAAAAAACAATCTACAAGCATATGTTGTTTGGATATTTTTTTTTTAACTAAAAATCAAACAAAGCCCCATATGCATTGATTGGGGGGTTTATGACCTTGTTTTATTCAAATTTTTGTGAACTTGATGCCAGCTTTTAGATAAGCCACTTCTACTGATGTCTGTCCAGGCTAGTAAATTCTGCCATGTGTTTTACCTCGGGTTTTAGGAGCAGCTTTGGGTTTCACTCTGTGCTTTGTTACAGGAGCCCAGATTCTTTGCACAGTGCTGCTGATCAAACCCGGTGCCTGGAGCTGCAGTTTTGCAAGGATCCTCCGAGAACTAGACCTGGAAAAATTCACTGTGGTTGGCATGAAACACATAAACCTGGAACCAGGTGTTGCCTTAGGACTCCTTTCTTCTGAAGTGAAACAGGTGTGTTAAGAAGCCGGTTGATCTGTGTCTACACTTAGGTTTGGAGTGGGGAAATATGTTAGCTAGTGAATAATCCGTTCCTGAAACAAACACAAATCTCCCATCCGGGATTTCTGAGCTGTTGAAGTGAGCTAAATAGAACAGTCAGCTCTGTACCAGTGTCAGACACAAAGCAAGCTGATGTGCTGACTGTTTCTTTTATTGCATGCCGTAAAGCATCAGACCTGGTTTCTCTAACAAAACAAAAGTTTGGAGGATCTGGGCAATACAGACCTCCCAGGAATCAGTGGAGTTGCCAAGTTGCAATGCTGACTCTAACTGTAAAACAGGTGTCCTCTTTTCCTTTCATAAGGTCATTTCAGGTAAAGGCACATCTAGGGAACAGCCAACTCCCCTGCAGTTGGGCTGGGCTTTCCTTCCATGTGTTTAAGCCTGGGAGTTGGGAAACATCTGCTGCACTGACAGAGAATATGTACCTCTGAAGCCCCGTTCCCTTAGATTGCATGTATTACACATCTTATACATGCAGCTGAATCTGTCTTCCAGGAGTGTGTGTAGAATAGCCTGTAAAAATGACCTGCAAAGAGAGAAAATTGAGTTACTGTCATTTCTAGTGTCTAATAGACAATAAAGAAGGTTCTTAAATCTTAGGGCTAAACATTGGTGCATGTTTCTGTTCTTCTACACCTTTAGAAATTATTTATTTCCCAAAATGCAATACCTTGATATGAGTGTAAAGATAGAAAAGGCAGGAAACTGAAATCTGGGCACTCCTGAGGAGCTAGATGATTTATTTTTTTTTTTAATCTCCTTGTTATGTGATTGCTTTCATGAAGGCACTTAACTGATTAACTTTGGCAGAAAACAAGACTTTCTAATCAATATTGCTCTGGGATTATGTTGGGAAAGTTTACAGTACTCTCTCATAGAAAATCTTAGTAGTCTTCCAGAGGAAGAGAGGAGCATGCCAGGGGAGTGCCCTAAGATAACCACCAATCAGGAGCAGCTACCACCTTCTGCATGATGGCAAAGCCATGGAGCACAGGCATCTGATTTGTAAATAGATACAGGCCACTTGTAAGACAGGCTGGATAGGTGGGACCGTGTGAACCTCCTGAGGTCCAACCAGGCCAAGTACAAGGTCCTGCAATCCCAAGCGCAAACACATGCTGGGGGAGACTGGATGGAGCAGCCCTGAGGAGAAGGGTGCTGCTCACCACGACCCGGCTTCATTGTGCACTTGAGCCCAGAACTCCCCATGTGCTGGGCTGCATCCCCAGAGTGTGAGCAGCAGGTTGAGGGAGGAGATTCTCCCCCTCTGCTGCCCTCTGAGGAGGCCCCCCCCTACAGTCCTGATCCAGCTCTGGGGCAACAACACAAGAGGGACGTGGAGCTGTTGGGGAGAGTCCTGAGACCACAGAGATGCTGCAAGGCTGGAGCAGCTCTGCTCTGGAGCCAGGCTGAGAGAGCTGGGCTGGTTCAGCCTGGAGAAGAGAAGGCTCCTTAAGGGGAGACCTCAGAGCAGCTCCCAGTGCCTAAAGGACCTGCAAGAAACCTGGAGAGGGGCTTTGGACAAGGGCCTGTAGGGACAGGACAATGGGGAATGGCTTTAACCTGACAGAGGGGAGATTGAGATGAGCTCTTAGGCAGAAGCTCTTCCCTGTGAGGGTGCTGAGGCGCTGGCACAGGGTGCCCAGAGAAGCTGTGGCTGCCCCATCCCTGGCAGTGTTCAAGGCCAGGCTGGATGGGGCTTGGAGCAGCCTGGTCTAGTGGAAGGTGTCCCTGCCCATGGCAGGGGGTTGGAACTGGATGAGCTTTGAGGTCCCTTCCAACACAAACCAGTTTGGGATTCTGTGAGGAGTTGCTGAAGGAGTGCTTTCCAATATGGCTTTTAACCATACAGCTAAATACAAAAATGCTTGGTTGAACATCTGAAACAAGACACTTAAAAAAAATCCCAATGACTACCTCAGGAAGTAATGCTGATGTATGCTGGGTAAAGTTACAGAGGGGTGATTTCATCAACATTTCCTCTTGTTTTGGGAGCTCTCTAACACACTGGAGCAGCTGCTGAGCATTGATTTAGTTTCCTGGAAAAGCTGGTGACTAATGAGCTTAAAAATTACAGACTGTTGGGGTTTTGTTCATGGGGGTTGGTGGGTGGAAAGGCAGGTTTTCAAAGTGAGACAGCAGAGATCATCAACTGCCTTTGGCAGAGGGAATGGGCAGTAGGAAATGCTTTCTGCTGTATGGGGGCTTCTTAGTTTTAGAACACATCTGAAAGTCTTTCACTTGTGAGGGTTGGAAGAGGCTGAGCTTCCAAGATAAACAGATAGATTTGCAAAAAGCCAAAGTATGCTTCAGGGCCTGGACTATTTGCAAAATCCAGCTTCTAAGTGTTACAAGGGCAGCTGGTGGGGGCAGATATATTTCTTGTAGCTGAATTTCATATAAGCATTTGAATTGGAGTGCTATTCATTGTCAGTCTCTCAGGGGACAACGGGATACAGGGCTGATTTTAAAATGAGGTTGTTAATATGGGGGCAAATAGCTGAAATTTAGCATGTCTTGTTGAAGAACATGGAGCCAGTGCGACTGACACTTCTAGAAGGGCTTTTTACCTCCTCCTCACCTGGAGCCTGATCCAAAATCCATCTCCAAGAATCTCTAGAGAGCTCCTGTGTATTCCTCAGGGTGCCAGTTTGTTTTGTATACACAGTACTTTATCACAGATTTGGGGTTTATTCACTCATAGAAAGACTACCTAGCATCTCCTTCTCTTTCTAATGGATTATTTGTATGCACATTGACAAATACCCTCAGCAACATGATTTCAGATGCACAATTGCTTTTGCAATTTAGGTATTAACATTCAGCTTCTAAGTAGCATATGGCCTTTGGCATGCAACAAATAATGGACTGGTCTGCTGTTTGCTGAGGTATCTAATAACAGGAGCCATGATCATACTTTTTACCTGAAGTTTAAGAATAATTTACAAAAGTAAGAGTCAGTAAATAGAGCTGTCATTGTCCCCTCAGCTGTTAGCAGGACCTGGTCATGTTCTAACTGTGGGAAGCAGCCACTCCTGAAGGGATTTCTGCCCATGGAGGCTGGATCTACTTTCAACAGCTCCAGCCCAGCACCAATGTGCAGTTTTGGCTGCCAGCCAGAAAGCTTGATTTTACAGTGGGATCTGATCATCTTTTTGGGAATCACCTGAAATGATTGCCTGCAGGTCGCTGGACTCAGTAGCTTGATGATTCCCTCCAGTCCTATCTTGTGATTCTGACAGTAGAGGCCAAAGGATGATTTTGCTGCTTTTTAATCCTGTTAGTCCTCCAGAGCCAGTGCACAGCTGGAACTTCCTCTGTGTACAGCAACAACATCACTCACTGAATTTGGGTCAGCTGCACATCTCACCACAGCTGTTCAGGTGTCAGTGGGGACACGGGTGAAGATGGTGGAGAGACAGGATGTAAATAACAGCAGCATTTTGCTGGCAGAGTCTAGAGAGGATGGGAAGATCTCTCAGAATGGGAGAAGTCATCTTGACTCACTGACACCATCAGTAGCAATCAGAGCATCATCTTTAACACAAAGTCTGCATATTTGCTGGGGAACAACTGAAAGACAGGAAACACAGTAGGGTTCTGTTATGTAGATCTAAAAACAGTGTTTAAAAGCTCTGGAACAAAACAACTTTATTTGTTTTGGTCTGTTTAACAGAAAGCATCTCTAAATATTTCCTTCTGCAGATGTTTCTACATGGATGAATGTTGATATGTTATACTCAGTCCTTTTTAAACTTCACATAAAGTCATCCTCACTGTTTTTCATCTCCCAAAGAGAAGGCCCTTGGAAAAGTGTATTATATACATATTCTTTCAAGCTAACAAAAGATTTCAAGCAAAAAAGGTTAATTTTGTATTATACAGAACTGAATGAATGTCAGCATGTTGCAGTATACTATGACCTGCTGAAACTCTTCATCCTCATCTAAATGGGGCTCTCCTGCCAGAGGAGAGCCTGTGCTAAAACTTCCCTGCACAGTCCCGTTCTGTAGGTGACATCCCTGGGTTTCCTCTGCCCTGTGTTTACATGAGGTGTGAGGATGGACACATATCAAACCACTTACCTAACTAACCCATTTAAAACCAGGGGGGCTTTCTCATGGATCATTTTGCATTTTCAAATACAGAAAAGAATATCTGGATTGAGCCTGTGCTTTTCAATTCATAGCCTACTTCTTGGAAATACAGCTGAGGAGGAATGTGAGTGAGAGATTTGGGTCAAAGACAGTGAATGGTTTCATATCGTAGAAAAGCAAAAGAGTCCTTGAAGTAGTTTATCTCCATATTTTAAATGAAATTATAGGATTTACTTTTGGACATGTTTTACCTAGATAATAGAAGATTAAGAAATTAAGAAATAGAGGAATTAAACCCCTTAGGGGGCTGAACGATGTGTTTCAGCTGAATCAAATGATGGGTCGTCCTGTCCCCCCCCCTCCTTGTTTTCTTCTCCTCAAAAATTGAAAAAAAAAAAATAACCATGGGCTGGTTCAGGCAGGGAGCTGAAACTGCTGCTGTGCATAAGCTGCACAGGGGACGTAGTGCTGGTGTGGGGCCTCTCTGTAGCGCACGGGGAGGCAGAGCTTGGTGCTCCTGCCACTCTGTCAAGATGAAGAGGCAGGAGGAGGCAGCCTGGAGCTGCTGTGGGCACCCTGACCTCATGCTCAGCAGAGATGTCTTCAACAAGCCTGGCTTTCCAAGGGTTTACTTAATTAAAGCAGTCAGCAAGGCTGTGAGTGCTCTGCTGCCTCTTGGAACCCTCTGCCCCAGTCATTTGCTGCCTTTCCCTGTGCTTCTCAATCATTATGTCCGTCTCCAGCCTCCAAATCAGACTGTTCTCACTGGTGCAGTGGTTGCTAGTTATCGTCATTACCTATCCTTAGTTAAAACAAAGATCCCAGGTTGTTGTGACCTGCACAGCATCAAAAGGAACATCTCTGCTCAGGAGTGATGACAGGCTGAACCGACCACACTTGGAAAAGAAGCAAAGGTAGAGAAATAAGTCACAGAGCACAATGCATCAGTGGCAAAGCCAGGAGGGGAACTGTTTTCTCTCAGTCCATATCTAGTGCCCTGCTGCTCTGAGCTTCCTTGTTTTAAGCTCACTGGTTCTGTAGTCCTGATCCTAACTTGTGTATGTTCCTTGTGTGAATTCAAGAATAAAAGTTCTAGTATTTGCAATCCTTTGTTATATATCAGCTAAGGAATTAAATGTGTTCCTTATCCCAGAGCATTTATGACCCAGTTGATATTGCTAATGTCCACTGCTTCCACCCTATCCTCATGTCATGTTGAAGGTCAAGTTAAAAGGGTTATTGCATAAATCAAAGGGTCACTAGTAGATGAGTGAACTGCAGAGTAGCAATTTGATTTCATCCTTATCCCCTGAAAATGAACTCCACCTCTGGTACCTGGCATGTACAGATATGCAGAACAAGCACAGCACAAGGCTTTCTGTCTTCTAGGAATAGGATTTGGTTTCCTTTCTTACTAAAACATTAGGAAATTACTGCTGAAGTTGTTTGTATGTATAAAAGCTACTGTTGGTTGATCTAGGACCATGAGGACTAGAACCACAAGCTGCTATGGCTTAAGATCCTGCCATTAACTTCTTTAGCTCTGTGAGGACTTAGGGTGGGAACTAGATCTCCTACTACCTGGTGAATGTAACAGCAAATGCTGGCTTAGTGATTATGGTATGTACTCTGGAAGCTCTGCCTGCAGAGACCACTAGCACATATATTATGAAGAGGAGAGAAAGCAGGTCAGGAAAGCTGGGATGTACCCAGCACTCACCAGCACTGTCCATTGTAACCTGTTTTGTCTCTGTTATTTCTCTTCAGGATTCTGCTGTTTTAGAAGCTCACTGTTCCTACCTTACTTCAGACACTGCTCCCGTGCTGTGTCTTCAGAGGCCAAATGCTGTGAAGAAGCTGATAGATTTACTGGGGCAGAGGACCCTAAAGTAGCCCAAGCACTAGATCCATCCCTCTGGAGGTCTCAGTATGACACCAGCACAGGCCAAAATGGATTTTATGGTAAGTTTTTGTAAAAGTCCAAAGGCTCAAACATGCCGTTGGAAAAAAGACGTTATGTACTGTCACCTCCTCATTGTCAATGTGGGTCTAGCTTTGGCAGGTGGTAGAAACCATTATCACCCCTAGAAAGCCTTCACTGTTGTCTTAATGGCTGAGCTGAATATGTCTCGAACTGTGAAATATAACCCAACAAGATATATTAAAAGGTTTCTTCCCAGAACAGCCCTAGCTCTGCCTTCCACCAGAACAAATTTCCTTTGATCTCTTCACTACTTGGTCATTTTGTACTTTTAGCTTGGTTATTTTGTAATTATCCCCAAGAACCCATCTGTCTTCCCTCTGCTTCAAAGCTACCCTCCTGGTAACTTCATAACCCACTGGCCAACTGCCACCAGATTCCACAGAGGGCGAAAAAACTCTAAGATACAATTTCCTGTAACATGTCCAAACATTAATGATTGACTAAAAAGAGGTGATCAAAAATGGCTTTTCCTAAGGAAAGCAGGTAAACTCAGCTGTTTTCCATTCAAAGAGGCTCTTGCCAGCTGCCACCTCAGCAGAGACAAGCCAGTTAGTCAGCACCTGGATGCTGAACCAGCTCATCTGCCAGCAGGGAGGGAGCTAGGATGCTGCAGTGGGAGGTGGGATGGGAGATAGCTGGGAGTGGGTGTGAAGGAGGGGAAAATGGGAAGTATTGCTGGAGAGAATGGACTGGAGACAGCCTAGGGTATTGCTGGAGCAGGCCTGGGCTGCTGCCACGAGTTGGGAAGGGTAGAGTTCAAACATTCCTAGGGAATTAAGCATCATTAGTTCACTGCCCATGAACAGTGTTTTTCCTCAGTGTGGTGCTGATTGTGCTGTGTGTGGTTAAAGGGATGAAAAATAATAAAAGCAATAGTTTCTATAGACACACTCTACTGTGAGCTAGCAGACACTGTGTATGTACCTTCATGTTCCAGAAGAACTTTCTTGTCAAGATTGGATTATTTGCCTCTCTGTTGTATTCTGTGCTATCAAAACACTCTTTTTTGTCCACATCAGGTGATCTTTTGAGGAAAACTGATAGGGAATGAAGTAGCCCCCATGTACAGTCTGGGGGAGACAGTCAACCCCTTGAGGTAGAACCCTGTTTGTTTCATTTTTTTTTCCTCAGGTATGATCATAATCCTTAGGAACAAGACTAAACCAAGAGAGATCTCACACCACTTACATGATCTCATTCATGGGAGTGACTGAAGAGCAGGATCTACCTACACAAAACGAATGGTCAGGGCTCTTCAGCCAATATTTTTCCATTATCAGCCCCTGCTTTTTTTTGCTCTTAAATTTAATAGCTTGTGCATGCAGGTTGCCTTGAGAATGAGAACTCTTCACTCGCAGCTAATAATTAGTAATATATACCCCAAACTTAGGATACCCATGCTACTGTTAGAGCATCCCTAGCATAGCTCAGCTAAAGTTTACTTTATATTAGCAAGAGAAGCCAAGTCTCACCCTGTCTTTCACTGGAAGAGCTCACTGTGTTAGAGAAGCCCTCAGAGGTTTGCTTAAGGATTGATTGCTTTCAGATTCCTGCTCACTCCAAAGGCTGGGCTGAGCACAGAGCTGCGCTTAGCTGGCTACCACCCATCCTCTGAGTGCAGCCTGTGCTTGTGTTAAGGGCAGCAATGTGACTCTTTCACAGAGCCATCATTGCACACATCCAAGGAGACTGGAGGCAGCTGTAACTGATGTACTCACTGACTCAAGATCTGATCCAGCTCTGTGCCAGGGAGGTGTTTGTCCATAAGGGAAGGAGCGTTTGTAACCCGTTGTATCTCCAAGAGCTTGTTCTCCAATAGGGGTGAAACATTTACCTACAAGTTAAGCAGGAATTGCCGAATCACATGTGAGTAATCATTCGGGAGGGCTGCGCAACACCATCTTCCTCTCCTAGGAGGGAATACTGAGCCTGCTCAGTTTTGCTTCAACTGAGGAAGATCTCTAGTTAATGTCACCTTGTTGAAGTAGAGCAAACTCCAGCTGTTTTTTTCCTCCCAAAGTAATTGGGGAAGATCAATGGAGATGAAGACTACATTCCAGTGATACTGTTGAACCAAGTAATGCAGTTTTAATACTCTGCTGCTCAGCTGCAGAGGTAAACCTGCACTCCTCGCATCTCTTCTTGGTCTTTACGAAGTCATCGTATAGTGCTTTTCCTTGAACCCGAAGATCTCTTACACAGGCATCTTATACAATCTTATACTTCAAGCAAAGTGAGTAAAAATGTTGCAAGCTTTGGGAACATTTGTGTCCTCTGTAATGGCATCAGTTACTTAAACAAGGAAGATTCGGCTCAGAGGTACATAAAAGATCCAGCACAACTTACATGCTGATGACTTAGGCAATCTTAGGATTGTAAACTACTGCATTAAGGACTGTGGCAATTCAATAGCTGGAATTATGAAGTTCAGACAGGGCTGAGTGCTGTAAGAGCAGTAAGGCATGATTCTTTGAATGGGTGGCCTGCAAAGGTGGTAATATTTCAGAGGATATTTGTGTTTTGTATATTTGTATCCCAGGAGTATGGATCTGTACCAGCAATTGACAATCCATCTGATCTCCAGTTATATAGAAATAACTTTTCCTTCTCTAACATTTTCCACCCACAAATCTCAAAGCACTCTGAATAGTGCTTTGTAACAATGTTGCTTTATAGGGATATTCTGTATCCTGATGCTGAGCCCGGAGGGACCTCTCAAGCCCCTGACCGGGTTCAGTTAATTCCTCCACAGACAATGCCATCATATATTCCCTTTCATAGGGATGCGCCCCAATGGCATGGTTGTAACAGAACTTCACTGCTCTGATAGCTAAAATTCTTCTTACATTTTCAAATTTGAATGTAGTCATACCCAATTTGTATCCATTTGTTCTTGTGCCAAGACCTGTACTTCAATTTTCAGTAGCTCTTTTTTCTTCTCTGACCTTTTCTACCCTGGTGTATTTATCGGAAATCAGGTTCCTTCTTCAGCTTTGTATCATGTTGGGTCAAACAAGCCGAGGTCTTTTAGTTTTAACTCTTCAAATGTTTCTCCATTCTTTCCATGATCCTCATGTTGTTTCTCTGTGTACCTGTCCCAGTCTCAATTTCCATCAGCAGTGTCTCACACTAATTCTGATTTCTGTTGTAAGTCAGAGCCCCCAGCGTATCTGGGACTTGCATTATTGCTACAAGGCACATTTGTTTTACCAACTAGTAGCTCCTTCCCATTCAGTAAGACCAGCCTGATGTGGTTCAGAAGCAAGAGAACAAAAATAGGGGATTGGAGCTGGTATTAAAAAGGTTCACAGGCTCCTTAACACAATTCTCTTTACTACTCTGCTGGGAAATAGGAGTCTTGTTTACATGAAGAAGCAGCCAAGCGATAATAGGACAGAATCACAATATCAAGAAGGCAATGAAACTATTCTAAATATAATGGTTTAAAATGTTTGCTATTCCTGTATAGAACAGCTGGCCTTTAAAGCAATTACTTCAGTATGTTGCACATCATCAGTCTCTCCAAAAGATGAGTGTGAGTCTAGAGAATGTTTAATTCATGGCCTGAGAGAATCTTCTCATCGTATTTATCTCTCAGGCTCTGAATCCTATCAAATAGCTGTCCGGGATATGAAGCTGTTTTTCCCAGAAGGGCTGTGCTACACCGAGTGTCAGACATTAGAGGAGGAAGAGGTAAAATTCTGCCCTTTCCTGAGAAGTATCCTGCTGTGCCAGAGCAATCGCTTTGGTCTTTCTTTCCTATTACGCTATAGATTATGCTTTTTTTTTTAATGTGTTTTACCAGCTGCTGAGATCTTGTTCTCCTGTGGATGTTCCTATCACAAGGTGCTCACTTTGTATTGACCCAGACAGCCTCAGTGGAAAAGTGCTTTTCCAGATATGTTTGTTCAGTAACCTGTGCTGTAAATTCAGGGCTCATACTTTAGAAGCTAAGTTTCCAGACAGAGTCAACATCGCTGTGGAAGCAGGTCACAGGGAGGGATAGCAACATCATCAATGATTGCTAAGACATAGCTGGCCCAGAGGCTGCTTTTTAACCAGCTTTTCTCATGTAGTATCCAGGAATGGAGATGAAGAGGGACAGGTGATGATGTAACTCACTGATTGCTGAATGTCTACCACAGAATAGGCACACATCCACATGCTCACAGGGTGAGCACTGCCCTGTTTGTGTGCCAAGGGTGTTGTCTGTTGTGCCCTGTGTGCAGAGGTACCAGATCACAGCAATGCAAAGGGTGGAGCTGTCTATGTGAGACATCTCAAGCTGTAAATACACTGCTTGCACAGCTGCTGGCTGCCTGCATCTTTCCCTGCCCATAGATAGAGGCATAAAGGCTCACACTCTAGCCCCTAAGCTTGCCTTCAGGCAGTGCCAAGCAGCTTACCAGTACCACTGTGGCCCACTCTGCTCGTCTAGCCCTCATGGTGCTGGTCTCTAATTCAAACCACTGCAGTCTGCCAATGGCTAAAATAAAATAGTAAGTCTTTCCTGTTCCACTAGTTCTGTATGTCATTTCCACTCTGATCATTTTCTTCTCAAAACCAGACTTTGAAATTATTTGGTTATGCCCAACAAAGGGCTGGAAATTTTTGACCCTTGCTTTTGTCCACATGGCACAGAGGTGACCCAGCTGAGTTAGTCCAAGGAGATTAGCTCTGGAACTGGAAGCAGCCAGCCACATCTGTAATATGCTTCACTAATGTGGATGCTCTCCCTCTGCAACTCAGTTCCAGGGCATCATTGCTGCACTGTGCTGGGATGCAGAGGTATACCAGTTCATACAGAGATGGAAGGGAGCCACTGCACACTGGGTAAAAATGTCAGACACTCACAGTCCTTGAGTTTCTGGCCTTGAAAAGCTGGGAGCAAAGACCTTGGAAAGAGTCTGTCAGGACCTTTAAAAGGATGTCGAGATGCTGTTCTGAATTGAGCCCCAATAAAGATAAATACAATGCATGCAAAATGTTCTTGTGTCTCTAGACAAGCAGGTGTTTCCTGGGCTGCAATTACAGAAGTACACAACGAAAGCTTCACAGCTTGCCTCAATCAATATATCTGAAGTGTTATCCTTCCTGATCAGGTAATGGTGTTCCCATGACTTGCCTCTCTCTCCGTCCCTTCCCTCCTGCAGATCTATAACCTGAAACATGACCCCATAGTCAGTTTGGAAATCAAGAAGCAGTGGAAGATCATAAAGCATGGAGCAGGAGGGCAGCTCAGTTCACTGGGCTCTGAGCAACCATGCAGCCTTGGTAAGAAAGTGCGTAACTCTTGTCATAGATTGAGACTGCTATTGATTAATTGGATAGCAAGACAAACCATCTGGTGGCAGCAAGAGTTGGTATTGATGTCCTTTCAGGAAGAAAAGACAGCTCTGAGATGCAAAGAACAGCTCCAGTGGAGTCCAGCCATTTAACTGTTTACCTGCCAGGCCCTTCCACTGCCAGAGCTTTCATGGATTGAAATGCAAGCCTGTTCAGAAGTGCTGACCTTACCATCAGCAGAACCAGCACTGTCACACATCCCATGTAAGCAGTAGTGCACATTTCTCTGCTGCACTTTCACACTGCACTTAAACATTGACTTGGCCACAGTGATTTGCATCTCCATTCAGAGCCTGCCACAAGAGAGGCCAGCACACTGTAGAGATGGGCGATAGTGAGATGTGTTGTTCTGTGAGTAGGTAAATACAATTTATGCTTTAGTACTTTTGGCAGTGTGGCCAGCGCACTCTCAGGAACTGGACTGAGGTCTCATTCTGTTCCCACTAGCTGATGAACAGCTGCCAGCTTAAAATGACTTCTACTTACCGCTGCTCTGACTTTGATTTGAAGTTGAACCTTCAGCAAACCTCTCACTTCCCTCAGCCACTTACAGTTTCTCAGCCTTTTCTGCTGATTTTTCTTGATAGGCATGTGTACACCACAGGCTGTCATGCAACATCATTTATGTCAGGATAGGTAACTAACACATGGGGATGCTTCCGTGTTGGGATATTGTGGATTGATTCCGAGCCTTTATAAACAAGCAGTGACTAGGTAAAGCATCCCTGTGGTGGTCACTGGGGAGCAGACTTGTTTGGAACTGGGTCATTCTCATTCCTGTAGCTTGAGTTGTGATGTGGCTAACAAGCAGGAGGGTGGAGAGCTGAGCAAATGTTCCTGTGCTGCACCTGAGTGCTGCAGTTGTTAAGCCCAGCTGTAAAACCACAAGATTGTTGTGGACAGGCAGAGTATGATAAAACTGCTATAGAGCTACTGATCATCACATCCCACCTTAACCCCTTACTGATACAGGGCTTTTGGGCATTGACCCTTACCTGCAGGTGCATGAGACGGCACATGTAGAAGTGCAAGGAGGGTGCTGTAAGCCAAGGCCTGTGCCTTAATGCCAGCAGAGCTGCTTGAGAAGCACAGGGTCACCTGGGGGAAATAGGGGGTGTCTCTGAAGGATTTTAGCCAAGATAATTAACAATGAATTCTTTTCACTGTCTTAGCTCGGCTTTGGGTTATGCTCCATGCATGCTTCATGATCATTGCAAAAATCACCAATCCTCAGGCAAGCTTCTTTCTTAGGTTGCAGACCTAAGGAAGACCTTGGTTTTGTAGCCACTAATACAGCAGACCCTGAGTGCATGAAGGTTCAAGAATTAACTGATCCCTGCAGTGGGAGTGTGAGACCTATCTCACATTATCACAGCATTTAAAGGGTGGCTACAAAGTCTCTGTTTTCACTGTAGCTCTCTTTCTGTAAGGAGTTACATGGAAAAGACAAGGGGTGCTGGGCAGAAATTAATCCCAGGGGATTCTGCCAGAAGGATTTTTCCCAGTGAGAACAACCAGCCATTGGAATAATCTCTTCAGGAAAGTGGTGGATTCCCCAACACTGGACACAGTTAAGATTGGGCTTGGCAGGGTGCTGGGATATCCAGTCTAGGTCATACTTTGTCTAGGAAGGTTGGACCAGATGATACCTGAAGTCCTTTCCAAGCTCATATTCTGTGATTTGTTATTGACATTCCTAAAACTGTTGTATGAGTCCTGAAAGAAGAACTTGGTGACTGTGTATCCAACAGCAGCTTTGTTGAGATGACCAGGCTGTTCTGCATGTAGCTGTCTGAGTGGCTGCAGAGATGCAATCACACCACTGTGTTTCTGCTGGGGTATGTCAGCTCAGGCTGTGTTCAGAGCACAAAGCTGCAGTGAGAGGAGACTTGCAGCTGCTCCCAGTCCAAAACATCCCATATTGCTGCTTTTGCAGGGTATGTCCCCCACCAACTTACTACACGATGAGAAAGGACTGGGCTTCTGCCCAGGTTTGTACTTCCTAATTTTTAGAAGAGATTGCAGAAAATAAGATAAAATAGTAAAAAAAAAACAAAATCAAACAAACCCATAGTTTATTGTGGAGAGAGCACAGGTATTCTGCAAGCTTTGAACAGCCCAGTGGTGGGAGCACATCTCAAATGTTGCGCCCCTAATTTCCTGCTGCATGAGGATCATTTTGCTTTGAAGATGTCTAAGCAGAGTCGAAAGGAAACCAGTGTTCAACCTTGATGTGTTTGTGTCTCAGAAAATGTATTTCAAATAGTCACTGTCCTGGAAAAGCAAGTACACGTGATCCTTGAACTGTCAGGAGCAATATAGCAAGTGCCTCCAGCGAGCCAGACACATCCTTCACTTGGTTGCCTCATCTTGAACACTAGAGGTAGCTCTTGCACACAAAGAAGCCTCTCCTTTTGAGCGAATCACTATCAAAGCTGCTGCCTAATGGACAGGCAAATTTATCATGAGGAAAATATGAAATACATTAAGTCCTATGTACACTGGTTCAGAATTACATTTTGGATTATAAAAAGCAGCTGGATTAACAGATTTCTTTGCTTGGAAGGAATTAAATGGACTAGTATCTCCTGTAGCAAAGCAGCAGTTGTCCTTGTCTGACTTCTGAAATGGGGTCACTACTGCTGTCTTGTGATCTCCAGATACATACACATAGGCATGCAGCAGTTTGACAGCTCAAGGTGAGCAATTGCATCTGTGAACATCCCAAACCATATAACAATGCCTGAGGGCCTCAGATCTTCCAGTTACTGGTCTGTGGCGAGGAAGAATTACTTAGAGGGCTGCTAGTTGTTTGGGATAGGTATAAAACAAGCATGTGTTGTGCTTTGATCTTTCAGATCAGCCATTGCTTGACAACCTCTGCCAAACCACTTGCCTCCTATTGCCTGGGGTGAGCCTTCGGGGTTCAGAGACCCCACCTTATGTGGAACTGCTTGATGAGCTCATTGGCACAGATTTCACAGTGACTGGAGTACGTCTCGCTGTTCTGGACATGCCACAAGCTCACTGCATCTCCAAGACACTAAGCAAGGCAGGATGCAGTGCTGCAGCACGGGTATGGAACAGCTGGAGTCATGCTTTGCTTCTTTCAGACAAAACAGGAGCTGTTTAATGCCATGCTGTGCTAGGGGATCCAGCTAGCGTGAAGGAAACTTGCTTTAGTAGCAGTATTAGCACAGCACTGCATGCAAGCTCTAATACCTCTGGCAGGGAATGTGGCAGCATGCCTTGCTAGCTAGTTCCTGGTATTCCTGTATCTCCACTACCTTGCTGACACCTAACCTTGACATTGTTATGTGTGCCCTAATGTGAAAGGCACATCCATGTTAAACATTTTACTGACTTCACCTTTCAGCGTGCAGTTGCTGCTATTATGTATGTTCTGCCACTGTATCCTGTCTTAGTTTTACATGTAATATAGTTTGTATTTCCCTTTCTCTGATCACACCCCATTAATCCTCTTCTACAATGCTAAATAACCCTTCCATTTTCTGGACTGTGCCCTGGAGTTCTAGGCACAGATTTCATTTTGCTTCCCACTTAGTTGGTGCTGACAGCTTAAGCTGCAGTCCAGCATGAGGATTGAGCAAGTGTTCATGGGGCTTAAGCATGAGATATGCTACTGGGGCAAGCAGATAGATTGCTTTACATCAGTGTCTCTTTGCACTTGTGCGGGAGAAGCCCACCATCTCAGGAACCTTTCTAGGGCAAAGCACTAAGGTAGAACATGCAAGAAAGTGTTGTCAACAGCATAGAGTAAACAAGGGGGGAAACGACTTATGCTGGAAGTAGCAATCAACAAAGCGCTGTCAGAGACACACAGCAGTCCCTCAGAAAAAACACAAGTGTTGGTGCTTACAGCCTTTCAGTTATGAGTCTTTGGTGTTTTCTGTAACAAGAACAGGTAAGATGTTTTCAGGTCGTGATTTTTTGAACTGACAGCATGCCTTTGAAGTACATCTGTATAGAACAGCAATTATACCTGATATCCAATTAGTGTAAGCACTTCTTCCTTCTCCTGGGGCTCCCCTAGGATGCCATCCCTCTGCACATGGGAAGGTGCACAGCTATCTAGGAAGGACAAAGTGAAACAGCAGGTGGGAGACAGAGCCATGGCAGCAGCACTGCTCACCTGGCCATGAAACACTTCCTCCTGGCAGAGATGAATTGATCTGTGCAGACTTGGAGTGTTTCCATAACGGTCTGGCACTGTTGAGCCGAAGGTGAACATTACAGCGTTTGCCTTCCCTTGCCAGAAGGGAGATGGGCTCTGTCAAGTAATAATTGTTTCTGCTACAGTATCTCCGCATTGTCTGATATCTCCATGTTCCTGTTTCCAGCAGAGTTAGCAACTCAATAACATGCCTAAATAACCTGCTTATTTTCACTCTGAGAGAAGGGAACAGGAATAATATTATGCCACAGGAGCAGGGTAGCTAACAGTTCAGACATGATACTCTTTCAGTTTGAAAGAGTCTGTTGCTCTGTGACTTTCTTCCCCTCACACAGCACATAAGCAGTTATCTGTGCTGTCAGCAGTTTATCAGTGAGGCTTACAGACTCACCTAAGTGAACAGCAACAGCAACACATTGTTCTTCCCTCTCTTGCAGTGTTCTCTTTTAAAGAATGGTTTTGTGTCTGGTGCTGGCAGCACAGAGAGACAATGCAGTCATTTTCTTTGACTCCCTGCTGAACAGGTAAGTGAGGACAATATTGCTTTACCAGCACTGTCTCACCCCCTGCCAGAGAGCCTGTGATCTGGGGGAAAGCAGCTGCTTTTCTTCTCTATACTTCACTTCCATTTCAGACTCCCATGAGGTCAGGTGCCTCTCAAAGGCAACATAGCCTTCCTAAGTTATGTTGTTAATGGGTCAGCATGTTTCTCAGTTTCAAAGCCATGTGTCCTTAAACACTGAGTAGCCATGTGTCCAGTAAACACTGAGTAGCCACTAGGCCCTTAAACACTGAGTAGTGGTGTCTGTGAGGCTTGGGGGCATGGTTCCATGGATACGGGGAATTCTCTGAAATAAGGGGTCTCACTGGGAATAACCTTCTGAATCAATAAAATTCCTAGGAGAAATAGCTTAGCAGATTCTATGTTTGCTATCAAAAAAAAAAAAAAACAACACACAAACCAAACCAAACTTAAAATATGCCAGAGAGCAAAATCAAAAACGAGCCTCTTAAATAAATCACCAGAAATGCTGGGTAGAGGATATATGAGCCTGGTAAAACAAACAGAACCCCTCTGCAGGGACTGATTAGTGAAACGGAATGATTAGCAGGGCAATTAACCCACTGCTCCCCAGAGGGAAGGTTTCCTTGCACAGGGCTGGTATTTGGCAATGCCATGTGTGTGTGGCTCTTGCACATGTTTTCCTCTGGCAGGGGAAGCCAAGAGAGTCTTTTTTTCCTGACACTGTTGGTGCTGAGCAGTTCAGCAGTGACACTGATAAGATTGTCATGACCATGGCTGTACCTCTGTTCATCTGGAGGACTTCCAGATAACACTGTCAGTGGGACAGGCATGTGGAATTCAAGGATGTCGTGGGTTTACAAGAATGAAGGGGGTCAAATATGAACCAAGCTGGTTCACAAATCTGGTCCAAGATGATAGACACCATGGAGTTCTTGTAGTTTATTGAAACGTTATGGTGCTCAGTCACAAGGCCACTCCTTGGAAGAATAGTTGGAACAAACTTCATCAGTAACTTCTCAGAAATGTTTTGAACCCAATGACAAAATTTAGACCTTGCTTCCACTGATTTAAGATCACACCCTGGGGAGCCACATCCCAAACCTTTCACCCTGCAAGTACAGCACTAGGGAGAAGAATAGAGCAAGTTATCCAAGATCTTTCTAGTATGTTTTCTCCACTCCTTCCCTGGTTTATGGGGAAAAAGGGAGCTGTTGGGAAGCCCAGAGATCATTGCTGAAGGTAGTTTTGTGAGAGTGGCTGTCAGCAGAGCTGACAGAGATCCCTCACCTCTTTGTTTTTCCCAGGCTTTTGTTCATCAGGGTCATGGGTGCTGCATAACAAGATCAGCTCCAACACAGTGCTTCCCTCTCTGCAGGCTTAACTTGATATGTTTTATGATTGCCAGTATCAAGGCAGCACCCCTAGAGCAAACCTTGTGATGTCTTCTCACTGCCGTTCACAGGGAGGAACAAGTGCCAGTCTCAGCTGTGTTTTCACCCCTCATCCTGCTCTGTGCCAGGGTGGCTGGCTCTCCGAAGGATAAACTTCCTTGCTGAACTGCAAAGTACATGCGCATAAATTCTGCCTGTTAGGAGGTACTCCCAAGGGGCAGGATCTGCTCTGCCTCTTACCCACAGTGCCACAAGTACTGATCCTGCAGCCATTTCAAACCAGCTGTACAAAATAATAACTGCCTTTGTGGTTGATGATGCTTGTGGAAGGGAGGATGGTGAGGTGTGCCCAAGGATGGGGACGAGGCAGAGATCCCTGGATAGATCCACCGTAGCCAACAATAAACTCACACCTTTATTGCAGCATAAGCACCATACTGTTTAAAATCAGCTTTGCAAAATATCTGTGAAAACCCAGCCTGACTCCACCAGTGTCTCCTAAGGATGCTTCATGCTAAGACAGCTTCATTTCAGAATAACATCTGAGGTTAATTACACTTACAGCTCCACCAGCAGGAGCCATGGGACCTTTCTTGTACCACCTAAATCACTGTATTTATTTCCCTCTTCCTGCCGCAGCCCAGGATTCCAGTACCTGCACAGGTTCTGGCCTGCATTTCAGCTGCATTGCTGAAGCACCTCAGTTTAAGAGATTATTTTACAGCCCTGGGAGTTGATTCACAGCTGAGCCACATTATTTAGGCTTTGTGCCACAGGGAGAAACGTTGCCATCTGTATGGAAGCCTGGGATATGATGTCAGAGATGGGCTGTGATAAAAAGGAGGAATCAGGTGTTGAGAGGAACAATGTGAGCTTTGCTAGTATAACTGCTCATAATTCAGAGCCTATTAAAGCTTTCCTAAGCCAGCTCTAGCAGTGGCACCTCGAGGAGACATTCAGTTACTGGAGGATGTGCTGTGCAGAACAGTTGCTTTGAAGACAGACACAGATCCTTATAACTGCGCAGTGATTATTGTGCAGCAGCAGCACCCACTCTGCCTGTTCTCTGGACATCTATGAAGGCATTATTTCTGCACCAAAGAGCAGGAAGAAAAGAGAAAGGGACAACACTGATGCAGGTGGGGGCACAAAAGCAGCCTGTGATTTTGACTGGCTGCCAAGAGTGGAGCTGAAGCAGGAATCTGGGAGAATCTGGGAGGGTGCCAAGGGTAACTCAGAGGGCAGAGTGAAGTGTTTGGAAGAGGTGAGAGGAAGCTGAAGAGAGATGGGGACTGGGGCAGAATCCAAGGAATGAAGTGATACAATCCTATCTACAGACAAGGAAAACCGTGTGAGACCTACCTTGTTTGTTCTGTCAGCATCCAACTGCCTGGATCTCCAGTATAAAGCATTTGAATTTTCCCTGTCATAACTTGTTTTTACAGCCAGATTTCCAAGCTGCAGGGTGGCAGAAGGAAGAATTTACAAGTAGATTCAAAGCAGCTCCTGGAAGAAAGGCAGGCTCTGCTTTTAATGCATGACAAACAAGATTTAGCTGCCTTAATAGGTGATACTGATTTAATAGTGATTACTGCTGGCTACTTGAGCTTTTAAAAAGTACTTTCAGATGCCCACGAGATTCTTAGGACCTAACTATGTTGTGCACTGTCCTTATGAGCTCACCTTGTTAACATTGCACTGAACTCCATGAGCAGTGTTCGACTCCAGCACACCCAAAACTTAGCTCCAGCGGAAGAAAACCAGAGTATAGACTCGGCCTTACACCCTTCTGGTTTTAGACAATGAGTGCAATCAGAACAGAAGTCAAGTGTTAAGGAACTTAGCTGGATGGTTTTTTCTCTGATGAAACATTCTTACCAAGTGCTAATTGTTGTTAGCAGGGAGTGATGTTGTCCCTATAGGAAGCTCATCTCTGGGAGCTTTGGAGGGGAAGGAGGTGTAGAAGTAAAGAAAATAGGTGAATACATGAGATGTAAAAAACTTGAGCTGTTGAAATCTGCTGAAAAGTTGCCAAGCACAGTACCTGGATATGGGGGCAGGAAGCAGGGACTGGTTTCCAATACCACTCTGGAGAGTTTTCAAGCCTAAGACTTGAGTGTGCACAGAGTCAGTTTAAAGGGCGATTTTGATATTTGTTCTTGCCTCTTAATTTCTCTTGAATATGCCTTATAGAATCATAGAACCACAGCCTGGTTTGGGTTGGAAAGGATCTTAAGATGATCTAGTTGCAAGCCCCTGCCATGGACAGGGACACCTTACACTAGAGCATGTTGCCCAAGGCTCTGTCCAACCTGGCCTTGAACACAGCTAGGGATGGAGCATTTAACAGTTCTTTGGGCAACCTGTGCCAGTGCCTCACCACCCTCACAGTAAAGAACTTCTTCTTTATATCTAACTTGAAGTTCCCCTGTTTAAGTTTAAACCCAACACCCCTTGTCCTATTGCTACAGGTCAGCTCGTGTGTGGACCAGAGCAAAAGGACTAGTGAAGCAGACACTGCTGCTGAAGGCAGCTTAGATAGTCCTGGGGGTTGGGAAAAACACACAGATTATCTTTGTTGAGAAGACCACGCTTGCACAGAGCTATCTACGTTTACATGTATTTCCCATTGACCCAGAGACCCCATTATGCAACAGGTCATTACTGTTGGTTGAAGGCTTGTATTTTAAGAATCCAAATCCATTTATACAAAGCTTTGTAAAACCCAGGATTTAGCTGTGTAAAGAAGTTCAGTAACAGATGCACACAGCCAGAGCTGCTGGCACAAAGCATAGTCCTCCTCAGAGCTGGGTCATCTGCAGTTTCTGACAGTTTGGATGGCAAAGTAACACTGGCTTTTGTTTTCCTTTACCCCCAGGGTCAGTTGGCAGAAGCAGTCAGTCCTAGACACTGTGCAACATCTCTTTTATCCTCAAAATGAGAATCAGGCAAGTAGAGAAGTTTATGGTACAGATTTGTGTCCTTTGTGTCCCTGTGATGAATGAAAGCTGTCAAAATTGGTTGAATGTTAGAAGAAAATTTTAACTTGTGTAAGACAGATGTGGTGCCTCATGAGAGCCACGAGTCTTGGCTTAAACCACAACACACTCTCTTCACATTACAATGGTGCCACTATTTTGAAACAAAATATTTGGAGATTTTGATAAAGATTCAATATTTTCCACAGGTGTCAGTTACTTTTTATGAAAAATCAACACTTAGTAAGATATCTGTGATATATGTCAATAATTAGTGACACAAAATGTTCATTCAGCCCTTTTGGCAAGCTGGCACATGTCCTGTGGTTCGGGAGTTCTGTCTCAGCCCATATCCAAATGGAAGAGGAGAAGTTAGGCCATTAGCTATTCCAGGGCTATGCTATCTGAGTATTTTTTCAGTAGTTCATCCCAAGAAGGGAAATGCTAAGTGGCATGTGGGCAGCTAATGGGAATAAACTGTATAAATATCCTTAAAACTCTGGCTGTTATCATCAAAGTTTAGTGCAAAACAAATGAGAGATTTGGATGGAGGAGGCAGTGCTTGAAGAATTAGGACTAGCAGGTGTAAAAGAACTGGGAAGGATGAGAACAGTAGCAAAGGGACAGGCCTCCCCCCTGGATCCCTTTTGCTTCCCAAAAAAAACGCAGCAGGAGAGTGAGATGTGTTTGTAACCTCGTGTAACACATCAGAGCTGCTGCTTCAGTACCAGTGCTCTAAGGACTGAGTCTTAAAAGACACCAAACCCCCTTTGAAGTCTGTGTTCCTGCTTTTAACACAGACAAAACTGCCCCAAACTTCCTCAAAGTCATACAGCTGCTGTTTGCAGCAGCTTTCCCTGAGGCTTGGTAATGTTCTCCCTGGGTGTAGCTGGGATTGCAGGCACTGCCAGGGAAGGTCTGTGATAGCTGCACGGCTGTCATCCCATGGTGCTTGCCACTTCCAGAGTGCCAGGCTGCTGCCAAGTGATATGACAGGGCAGCAAGTCCAGGCTGTTTTCTGATTTGCTTTGAAAAGGACATAACATATCTCTGGCTGACATAAAATCCCTTCTGCTTCACAGCTATGGGGAATCAGCCTATCAGAAAGAGGCTTATCGTGCTTTCTGTGATTGATAAGAGGAAAACAAATATGCTCAGCCCTTCTCCCTGCTTCTGGCAGCCTGGGGCATTGAATCAGATCCCTCTGGTGCTGGTGGAAGCAGTGGCTACTCACAGCAGCTCAGAGTTTAGACCATGAGTCTAGTCCCTGAACAGCGGTGGACGCCACACTCCACATTGTGGGTTATAAGATGCACAGCAGCAAGTAATGTTTATTTTCAAATAGTCCTTTTGCTCCAAAGTTCAGGGTAGGTTTAGAAATGGAGCACCTCTGCTATGAAGAAAAGCTGAGAGTGTTGGGGTTGTTCAGCTTGGAGAAGACTCTGGGAGACCTTATAGCAGCCTTTCACTTAAAAGGGGCCTATAAGAAAGACGGGAAAAGACTTTTTAGCAGGGTCTCTTGCAATAGGATGAGGGGTGATGGTTTTAAACTAAAAGAGGAAGATTCAGGCTGGATGTGGGGAAAATATCTTTACAGTGAGTGTTGTAAAATCCTAGCACACATTGTCCAGAGAGGTGGTGGATGCCCCATCCCTGGAGACATTCAAGGCCAGGCTGGATGTGGTTCTGGGCAACCTGATCGAGTTGAAGATGTCCCTGCTCATTGCATGGGGGTTGGATAGACGACCTTGGAAGGTCCCTTCCAACCCAAACTACTCTATGAGTCTATGATCACAAAGCTAGATCTGAGGAGCAAGCTCACCAGGGAATGATTGTACCTCAAAGGATGTGCCTAGAAATAGTGTTTGATCCTCTGATCTCCTGTTAATGAGTTTATGAAATGTCAGCCAGGCTTTCCAGGTCAAAGCTAATGAGCAGCACCATGATATCAGGCAAAGTTCAGGAGGGTTAAATGAACATGGATTTCAAATCCACATGGTTTAAGCAGACCTGCGGTATTTACTGGTGGTGTTGAACCATGGAAGTGAAAAGGAATTTTGTACTTGCTCCCTCTGTGATCTGGGACTAGGCAATAGGATGAGAAACCCTTTTTACAAATGTGGACTATTTTAGTGCTCATATCTGTGTCTGGGCTAGTTGCCTGCCTTCTTCTGCAGTCCCTAAGAGAAGCAGCGTTTCTACAGCACTTTTCACCTGCCCTATTTGAAACAGGTGCCTTAGGAGCCGGTGAATCCATGCTTTAGAAGTTCTTTATGCTCATGCAGTGGACGGGCAGATGCCTGCTCCCCATGCAGGCTTCTTTTGGACACATGCAGCCCAGTTTATATCTGTAAATGATAAAGCCATGTTTTGTTCGGGAGATCATTAGGGGCTCTTGATCTTCCAGTGGACCTCTATAAAGTGGTCCCTTATTTCGCTGCATGTGGTCCATACCCAAACTGGAACCTTCCCAGCAATAAGAGCTGTCAGGGAGTGCTGTGCTCAGCCATTGGACTGGGATGGACTGGGATGTCCCATGGCTGAAGTTTCTTCTCACACACACTATGGCTGGGATGAGATTATGAGGCTGGGGTGACCTCTGGTCACTGACCTGCCACTGTTAGCATGTCAAAGCAGGGAGACAGCACAGGCTCAGCACAGCCATTCCTCAGTATGAGCCCAGGGATGTGTAATCAAGGCTCCAGAGGCAGACAGTGCTAATCCCTCTGCTCTGCCTGGAGCCCTGGAGCTGTAGCCAGCAGCCACAACGGCTGCTCTAGCATCTCCCTCCCTGCAGAAACAGCCATAACTTGCAACTACACCAGAGCAACACAGGGAAAACACATCTCAGCCACCATTGGCGTGGTCCTTAGCCTGTCAGCAGCAGGCAGAAGGGCTGGAGTCCCGTAAAAGAGACCTAAAAGCCTATGAGGAGAGGCAGAGTGCCTGCAGGAAGAGGGCCCAAGGGCTGTCAGCACAGCATGCATAATGCTTTAGGGGAAAACTGTGTTCATTAACACAGTCAAGTAACAGACTGGTCCTGAAGCCCTTGTCACTGAGCTGGTCTCCCCATCCGTGGAGCAGCCACATAAGTGAGAGGTTTGGGCAGGAGAGGCAGAGCAGATGTGGAGGTAGTTAGACTTCCTGCTTGGCACTTTGCATGTTGTTGGTTTTCTTCAGTTCCTTGAAAATGTGAATCTTGAGAACAGCCTAACAGTGGTCATGGCTAGCAGACATTTCCCTGCTGCGGGACACTCGGAGCTGCCTCTGGGCTGGGATTAATTGCACCTGGTAAACATCCTCACTGTGCTGCCTTCCTGCTGCTTGCACAGAAACCTACCTCTGAAAGAAGTGTCTCACAGAACTTACCGCTCTCCCCCAACCCCTTCCTTCTTTTCTCCCCAGGCTGAAGAGCTGCTCTGTTGCCTTTTTTGACTCCCTGACATCCGAGAGCATCCACCAGATTGAATCCCAGGATTGCTAGCCAGTACGGTCCAAGCTTCCAGGCATGGGTGGATGCCGCTGCAGGTATCTGTGCAGATGGGCACTCAGGGGACACCCAGCCTCTTAAGAGCACTGATGTTTGTTTGTCATTAAAACATAACGTCTGAAGTATGGTATTAGCATCAGTAAGATAAATGAGAGTGGTGGGAGGCAGGATCAGTGCTCAAGAACAAATTTTTCTGAACCATAGCTGTGGTTTCTAGTGGAATGCGTTCAGAGGCAATCTGCTTGTATTTGTGGAGCAGGGGTTGGAGCATTCCTGTGGCTGAAAAAACTCAGGAAGTAAAACAAATCCAGGGGCAGGTGCTTGGGACTGCATCTTCCCCAGTCCTCAGAGGCATTATGGAGAGACTCCATTTTCTGTTGCTGCTGTGGTTCTTTGAACCAAATACAAAAATCCAGTAAAAGAAATGGAAATAGTCTGAGGGAAGGCTGGGTCCCTGAAGAGCTCAGTACCATTGAGTAAGATTAAAAGGTGGACAGCTTAATGTTCTCTTATCCTCTGCTTCAGCAGTCCTGTTACAGCTGTCCTTGCCTAGCCCCAGCTCACTGCCCTCCTGTGGGCACACAACCCTGCCTCTTGTTCTTCCTTCCACAGCCCCCATGGATCCTTGCACAATTCATCCTCTGCCAGGTCCTTTATGTGAGCTATCAAGCAAGAAAGCTGACGTTAATACAAAGGTCCTCAGTCTTCCTGGAACCCACTGGTCCACAGCTCCTTTGGGGAAGATTCTTCTCAGCCCAGGAGGCCTCATGTTCCTACCTGCCCTGCTAAGGCAAAAAGTTGGATGTGCACGTGCCTCTGATTCCAGACATCACAGACACAGCAAGGACAGTCCCTGTGGGTTCTCCAGGCACTGTTAAGGCAGAGCAACGTGCAGCTGGCTGGCCAGCCCACCTCTGAGTGCTGCTAGTGGGGTGAACCACTTCTGTGCACAGCCTTTCCCTCTGTAAGAGCCCAGTACGAGTCCTCCTTCTCCGCAGCCACTAGCTCACACAGTCTGTGAGAATACAACACCTCTGAGATCTCTGTCCCCTTTTGGACAAGGCTGTAAGTGCTCAGTAAGTACAAAAGCTGTCAGAAGTCTGGCCTTGCAAGCTCTGCTTCCTCAGCCAGTAATAGTCCTTACACAGTCTCTCTCCTTCTCTAAGCTACCAAAAGTCTTAAGAGCAAAAGAGAAAAATACAACAGAGCAAAACAGAAACAGCAAAAGAGCTGGGTGAAGAGGAGATGTGGACAGGGGGCCTGCTGCATCCTCACACAGTGGTTCAGTGTCAGAGCTTGGAAGTACCTCCAAAACTCTGCTCCCCAGCATCATTCTACCTGTACAGGCTGTTTGGGCTTTATGGTGGGTCTGAATGTCTCTGAGGAGCAGCTCCAGAAGCATGTGCCTGTGAGGCAAGCAGGCAGCTGCCCTGCTCCCTTGGGAAGACAGGGCCCTGGGAGTCAGCACGGTGGACAAGCCTGCTCTGCTCCTGCAGCTAAGTAGGCCATTTCCTGCACTCCAGGCACATTTCTGTCGTGCTTGTAAGCCATGTACAGCTTTGAGACAAATGAGAATTAAAAGGATCCACCCCCAGCACTTGGGGAATTTGATCTGGAAAAGGGGTCTGTTGGAATAAAGCACAGTCAGATAGCAGCTGAGAGACAAAGCCTGCAAAGCTATGTGCAAGAAAGGGGCATGCAGGGCCAGCAGCAGCCCTGCACCCACCCAGCCCACCAGTGCACACAGGCCACCAGTGCCATGTCTGACCCACCTGGGCCCTCAGACCAGTGACAAATGGGATGATGGGGAGCTGGACATAAGGAGGTGATGCTCTGGTGACTGGCAGCAGGCACTGGGGAGGTGACATCCTGGTCAAACACCCCTGGCCCTATCCCGGCTGTCAGCAGGCTGGAGCTTCCTCAGCTTTATGGCAGGAGTTGAGACCATGGCTCATAATTCACCATGGAATAAACCAGGGCCTGGCACAAAACACATACCAGCCCCATTCCAGACAGCCTTGCTGCTGAGGCTTGCTCTTTGTGAGCCTCCATCCACCAATATGAACAGACCCATGCCTCAGTTTCCCACCAATGAAGTAGAGGTAAAAGCTCTGCCACACCAGACACACCAGCAACATCATAAGAATGGGGCAGCACCCAGATATTTGGAGCATGAGGCTGCTGCAGTGTCTTTGTGTCTTTGATTCCTATTTTCAAGCCCAGCTAATTAGCCTCAGCATAACAAACGAGCACACCCTGCACAGAGCAGGGGAAAGCAGCATCCTCTGATATTTCCAAAATGCCAGGATTCCATAAATAACCCCACCAGCCTTTCCTCCCAGAGCACCCCACTCTTCTCCAGAGAGCTGACAACCCAGAGCACCATGGACCCAGCAGAAATCTATCCCATCAACCCTCCAACAGCTCCAGATCAGGCAAAGAAAGCTGTGGCTCACACCCTGCTCTTCCCCACCACAAGGCAGCCAGATGAGCTAATCAGGGCTGAGGAGCAAATTAATGATTGCTGGAACCAGGAGAAAGGCAGATTTGATCGGAGATTGCCAGCTTTGCAGCTGGCTCCTACTTGCAAACAATTCATTTAGATTATGAAAGCAAGAAATTGAGTACAAAACCCCCTAGATTGTTTGCCTCCTAGAGAAAGAAAAGAAACGGAATTTTAGATTAAGAATTATGCATAATAGTATTAATTCCCTACCCTCTTGTGCCTCCCCGCCTGGAAAACCAGAGCTAATCAGAATTGAGCATTGTTCCACTGCCATGTCAGAGCTGCCTCAATGGAGGAGAGAAAATACAGTCAGTGGCATTTTGTGTTAACACCTTCTGGTCCTGCCATAAGGATGAGAGCATCCAGGGCTGATCTCCCAGTCAATTGATATCAACCTGGGTTCCCTTATCAGCACTGAGCCATGCATAGGCACGTGGTTGTGTGAGTTGCAGGTGGAGGAGCTGAAATTTGATGCTCTCCATCACCTTTGTGCTGTGTTAAGCAGATTGGAAAACACCTGGAATTGAAACAACCCCCTAACACCAACATGTGGCTTTGATTTGGGCCAGAATAATTCTTTCCCCCTTAAAGCTCATCCAGTTCCAACCCCCTGCCACGGGCAGGGACACCTTCCACAAGACCAGGTTGCTCCAAGCCCCATCCAACCTGGCCTTGAGCCCTGCCAGGGATGGGGCAGCCACAGCTTCTCTGGGCACTCTGTGCCAGTGCCTCAGGACTCTCACAGGGAAGAGCTTCTGCCTAAGAGCTCATCTCAATCTTGTCTGTTTAAGTTTGAAAACATCATCTATTCACTCAAAAAAATATTTCATTCAGCCTAAAAATTATTTCTGCTCCAGCCCTATGCACATGAACCCCACAGAGCATAGGGGATGTCTCACATCACCACTCAGACTTGCTAGCCTGGAAATCACTGCACAGCAAACGGGATTTACTGCCCTGCTGGTGAACTACTCATAAACTGGGCACTGGTTTTCATCTCCACAGGCCCATGGCTGCCTTTGGAAGCAAGAGGAGCTGATGGACCTGCTGGAGCTGTCCCCGGACCAGCCATCCTCACCAGGCTGGATGATCTTGATCCACATACTTCCCATGCTCGCAAATTGCCTTGCTGGCATAAGCCATAAGTACCTCTCTCTTGGCTGAGAGCTGCCAGTGTTGGATTTTGGGGTGTCTTGGCATCTGGAGGGCTTGCTGGACCACCATACAAGAGACCTGGGCCATGCCAGAGAGCTGAAATGCTTCATGCATTGGTGAGACAACTGTTCAGGATGAGGACAGGGAAAATCATGCCTGACAAATCTGGTGGCCTTCCATGATGAGGTCATGGCATTGGTGGATAAAGGCAGAGAAACTGATGTCATCTACCTGGACTTGTGCAAAGTGTTTGACACTGTCCCACACAACATCCTTGTCTCTAAACTGGAGAGGCATGGATTTGATGGATGGGTCATTCAGTGGATAAGGAATTAGCTGGATAAACAGTAGCAGTCAACACTTGATGTCCAGATGGAGATCAGTGCCAAGTGGTGTCCCTCAGGAGCTGGCATTGGGCCCAGCACTATTTGACATCTTTGTGGACAATATGGACAGTGGAGTTGAGCACCCTCAGCAAGTGACACCACCACCAACCTGCATGATGCAGTTGACATGCTGGAGGGAAGGGATGGGGTCCAGACAGACCTGGACAGACTGGAGAGGTGTGACCGTGTGAACCTCATGGAGTTCAACAAGGCCAAGTGCAAGGTCCTGCACCTGGGTCATGGCAATCCCCAGCACAAACATAGGCTGGGCAGAGACTGGATTGAGAGCAGCCTATGAGGAGGAGAAGGACATGTGGGCTTTGGGTGATGATAAGCTCCCCATGACCCGGCTTCAGTGAGCCCTTGAGCCCAGAACACACCCCCACCATGTGCTGGGCTGCATCCCCAGAGCCTGAGCAGCAGGAGAGGGATTCTCCCCTTTTACTCTGCATGTGCCTCCCCTCTCATCTTCCTGGAGCGGGATCAGGATCCAGGCTCTAGTCCCAGCTCCGTTCCACAAGGCAAGCAGTGGCCTTTCTCCATTCCTTCCTCTCCATCTTCCTGGGGCATCATCTCCCAGGCCTGTCGCAGCAGCAGCCACTGATTAATTGGTATTTGGCAATTCCTCATGGACAGGGGCTGGAGGGGCACAAAGGGTGGTTTGTCTGCAAGGTTGGGAGCTGTGATGAAGCAGGGCTGGGGATGACTCAGATGTGGGTAATTAAACTGGTTGGAACAGTGGATGGCTCAGGCAGAGCGCAAGGAGCTCATGGAACTGCTGCACCTGGGTCATGCAGAAGACCAGCACCAGTAGAGCCTCTTGTGGGCTCACCTGACCCTGGTGGGACAAGATCCAACAGCAATGCCAGTCCCCAAACCAAAGATGCTCTGTTATGACAGGGCAGAAGCGCTGTGTGGACAGATTCACATGGTCAAGCTGGAGGCTGTTGGTACCGCAAGTGCTCCTGAGGAGCTCAGCAGAGATGCAGTAGGCTCAGTCAGTCCCCATCCATCCATCCATCCATCCATCCATCCATCCATCCATCCATCCATCCATCCCCACTCCCAACATGCCAGGAGACCAACCAAGCTCTTCCTCCCCTTGGTTTAAGTTCCATCACAAGCTGGGATTACTGTGGGATGTGAGGAATCCTGACCAACGCCCTGCTCTTGCCCTGGCCAATTGCATGCAGGTGCTGCTGTCAGGAGGGATATATAAACCCTCAGGGAGGGTCTCAGGTTCCTACTGGTGGGGTTCTCTTGGGTTCTAGGACTCATGGACTTTCCTTGGCTGCTCTGCCAAGGTAAAGGGATGGATCTGGGGACTACCTAGGTTCATCAGAGGTCTTATGCCGACCCCTAGAATCTCATACTGGAAGACGTGTGTGATGTTTGCCATGTTTCAGCCATCAGGAACTTCCTGAGAAATTTGTGAGTTCTCAAATTTGGTTTGGAAGATGAAGACTCTCTCCACCAAGTTGCTACAGCTGATCAGTATCTTCAAGTAGCTCTAATGGACCTGCTTGTGGCCAGTTTGCTAGTTTGCTCCAGGCCTTCTTCTGCTGTGGGTGATGTCTCTGTTTGCTGACTCTGCACTGAAGCTATTGTCTGCTGTTGGTGCTGATCTAACAGAGGAGCTGCTGATGCTGCAGTGTTCTGGATGACTTGGCGGACTGAAGAAACCTGGGAGACTTCCCCAACTGACTTTGAGAGGGAAAGAGGAGCAGGGCAGGGTAGAATGGGTGTCCCTGCCCTTCTGCCCCAGCTGAACATTGGCCCTCAGCTGCTGCCCAAGGCCTGGATGACGCATCCAGCTTGTGTTACACAGTTGCAGGCACTCACATGGCTGTGGAGCTCTTGCTGTGTTTCCATGTTCTAAGCCTGGATTTTGGGCATGGGACTCATCCTTCCCAGAGCTCTGGCAGAAGATCCTGAGCTGTTTGTGCTGTGCACTGAGATGCTGATACCCTCTCAAAGTAGACTGGCCACTGGATGCCTGCTGAAAGCCATGGAGCCATTCAGACTGGTGGATCTGGCCTGCAGTGGACCAGGTTCACATTGTGGTAGAGCAGAGGGGGCTTTACCATGAGTAAGTGGCTCCCAAGAATGGCTGTAGGGTGTCTCCAGCCAAAGGCTGGGTAATGGCTCCAAGCTGGCTACTTCATGTTGCAGGGGCTTCATTGTAGGACTAATGTGACTGTTGTGCCTGTTCCAGTCTCTAACCCCATCCATGCCTGTCCTTCCACGAGATCCAGCCTCCCTCAGGAAACCTGGAAGCCAGGAAAGATGTCCAGTTCCTGACCCTGAAAGGAGACAAGAGTTCTGGTCTGCTTAAGGCAGACAGAGCTGATGACAGCCCAGGTGTCCTGTACCCTGTAGTGCTGCTCCCTTCTCCTAAAGGAGACACCCAAACACATGGACCTGAACAGTGGTGCTATGAAGCAAATGAAAGCCCACCAAGAAGCTCCAGACCACTGAACTACCATTGTCTTCTGCATATATGCTGCTGAGCTTCTCAAACAACCATACCCTGTATTCTGATGTGCAGCTCCAGAGCCTGGCAGCCTTTAAATATTGAAGTCCACTTGGACTTGAAGCCAAACAAGTGTCCTGGGCATCCTGTGGGTCAGCCAGTCAGACCTGCCATGTACATGTTACCCTGGGCAGCCTCCGTGAGCAATGAGGGCAGATGTGGCTGAGGAGCTCTGCAGGACAGGCCACCCTACTGCCCTGCCGGAAAGAAGCAGGACTTAGAGACTAAACCTTGGCCATTGGGAGTGCTCCTCAAACTAGGCTGGGGAAGGGCCAGCCCCCCAAGTGACTGCAAGTGCGTCATAAATTGGAGTGAGTCCAGCAGAGGTGGAGGGAGCTGGACCTTCATCACCGGTGAGGAGGAGGCTGAGGGTAGGGATCTAAATCACTCTCTGGGATTATCCCGTGCTGGGAGCAGAGGAGATGGGGGTGTGCAAAGCAGAGGGATGGAGCAGTGAAGCTTCAGAAGGGTGGTGCTGGTGGGCACAAGGAAGAGCAGTTGAGGAGGAGGGTGGTGTGGCCCTGAGAGAGGGGCCTGAGGCCAGCTCCGGTGTTTGTCCCGCTCCAGGCAGTGTACAGCCCTGGCTCTGTGACCAGGGCAGGTGCCTTTCCCAGGGTGGCTGTGCTTCAGGTGGGATGAGGATGTCCCTTGTGAACTGGCCTAGCTTCATTGTGGTGTCCTGATCCAGCTCCAGCTCCAGGGGTACAAGGGTGAGCCAAATTCCTGTTGTCTTCACACCAGTGTGCAAGGAGCAAACCAAACTCTGTGAAGAGGATGGAGGGATGAGACAGGTCCTTCTGGCTCATCTGCAACCTTTTGTCATGAAGTTTATTTCCAGTGTGGTGCTTCCAGGGCTACAAGGTGATTAACATACATTTTAAGCATGTTCGAGGCATGTTCTGGATGCCTTTAAGCCCCTGCTGTGTTAGAGCTGACTTACAAGCTGGGCTCCATTAGCAGTTGATTCACTACTTATTAAAGCCTCTATTAATCTTGTATTAATGCTTCTCAAATGAGACTTTTCTGGAGGTGTAGCAGCCTCTGAGGTGAGGAGCTCAGCTTCAACCCAGCCCGGTGCCACCGATGTCAGTGAGGGTTTAATTCAGGATCTCGTCAGGCTGAGAGCTGAGGTCTTGTGAGGCTGCTGCGAGCAAGAGCTCTGAGTGTGGGATGATGCTGGATGCAGAGACACCCCAGGGCTCCACCACCCTGAAAGCTGGGGTGACTGGGGCGTGACTGACCCCATAACCCCAGGGAGGACGGGGGGTTTGGGGACCGACAGGGAACCTTATGTCTTGATGCTTTGCCGGCAGGGACCCAGCAAGGCTAGAGCTGCTGTCTGTGGCTGGGGGGGACATGTCTGTCCTGGTGTGGCTTGAGCATCAGCTGGGTCATGGCACAAGCTGCATTTCTGCAGATGGGCTTTGAACGGGCAGATCCTCATCTCCAAACCCAAAACCTTTCCTGCCCCCTGTACTGCCAGCCCTGTGGCTTTTGGAGGAATATGAAGGAACATCTGAATCCAGAGAAGTATGGATTTAGACCAACGTAAATAGCGCCTTAGGCTCAGCTGTGAGCTTGGGGAGCTGCTGGTGGCACTCACGGCTGGGGCTGAGGGCAGGGTGCCCCCTGTGCCACATCCTGAGCTGTGGTGGTGGAGATGGGTGGATGAGATCTCCCACATCTCCTGTCCTTGCATGCTGGGATGCTGCAGTTGTCATGGCAACGCAGGAGGAGGCCTGTGGAGCCAGCTGGAGTTTGTGACCTAGCATTTGGGTGATTGGGGGTGGAGGGCTGGGTGCTCTCACCATCACCTTGCTGGACCCTCACTGCACTCCAAAACTATGATTACCCCCCTCCTCCCACAGTCGACCTACCCAGTGTTCAGCTGAAAGACCCTGGTGAAAAACGTTGGGATTTCCACAGGGAGAAGCACCTTTGGGTGAAAAAAAAACATGTCCAAACCCATCCAGCCAGTTCAGAACCTCTGACTTCCCTCTGCCTGGAATCCTCCCAGCTGGCTGAGGCTGGAGTAGAGGCAGTAGCACTGCAGAGCTTGACCTAGAGCTATCCCCTGTGCTCACTGGGCTGTTTCCATGGGGCAGGGACCTGCCTGGGAGGTGGGATAAGGATGGATATAGGGGTAGGAGTGCAGCCAGCTCTGCCATTGCTGTGTGCCGAGGTGCTGGATCTGACACAGAAGGTCACCTCTCCCTTCTGCCACTCACTGAATCCTGTGGGGCTGTTTTTTTTTCCCCATCTCAGGACAGCTTTTGCTGCCTGGCTCCAGCAGCTTGTCCCTGCAGAGGGGGCCTCAGCAGCCACCAGGCTTTGAGACTGACATCTGTCCATCATCTCCCTGGCATCTGGAAGCGCAGCAGCAGAGGGGCCCTGTGGGAGGGACAGCCGGGACACACACAGCCCCTCCACCAGGAAGGGCATTGGGGTGGCTCCTGTGTCCTCCCAGCAGTGTCCCTGGCTCTCATGGCTCGCTGCGCAGTGGCCTCGAGCTCGCCCGGCATTGCTGGGCACTGGGTAGCACATGAGTCACGTTTCCTTCCACCGCCCGTCTCTGCTCGGTGCTGGAGCTATTTTTGGGAGCTCCTGGAAGCGGATCAGCCCTCAGGAGCACAGTTAATGAATGTTCCCACCGTGCCAAGCTCCCATCCCCCCCCGACCGCCCAGACCCTGTGATCCCGGCTCAGTGTGTGTGAGCACCCGGCCCCTCCTGCAGCCCCTCCCGAGTCATCAGGGAGCTGAAGCAGCGTCTTGGGGGCAAAATCAGTACCTTTTGGAGGGCTGTTGGGATTGGTTGGGGTGTTTTTATGGCACTGATCACTTGTGTTCCAAAGGAGTGGATCATTCGCAGTTATTTTTACTCCTAAGCTGCAGTGTTTCAGCTGGGCTGCACGGGCTCACTTGGCGTCTCTGAGCAAAACAGGCAGAATTCAGCTCCAGGAATCGAGGGCTGGATGAAACCAGAGGCAGGCAGGCTTTGCTGAGTATCGCAGCCAGGGCCTCCTGGCCTCCCCAGCTCAGGAAGGGTCTGGTTTTATGGGATGCCAGTGGAGCTGGACCTGCAGCACCCATCCTATTCTCCCACCCTGTGCCTCTTCCCCCCATCTCTGCTCCCAGCTCAAGGATCTGCACACATTTACGAGTTATTTTCTTCCAGAGCAGTGTCTATGCTTCTCACCCATCGTTCTGGGAATGCCCAAGGGCAGCGGTCACCTTCCTGGCCAAACCTGGACCGAGCTTGGAGGGGACCTGGTGGCTTTGCTGAGCTGCTGTTTTGACCATGTTTTTGGGTCTGAAGGTTTCACCTGAGCCAGGCAGCGCCTACGGTCCTGGCACCGATGGGCTCTCAGCATCCCCAACCTCGCTGAGATAAAATTAGCCATTTCCCTTTGAATGAATTCAGCTTGAGCAGCCCCAGCGCTTCGCTTCGGAGACGTCAAATGGCAGCGTTTCCTTTTCTGTCTGCGCTCAGGGCGGGGGGGGGGGGGGTCCTTCCAGCCAGCGCCTGGTGACAATGACATTGATTTCCCAGACCTTTTGCCGTGGCCAAATCAGTATTTTTAGCTGGGGAAGGGGAAAAAAATAAACCACGTGTCACAGAAATGCTTTCCCGGCCCTGATGGGAAGGGAAAGGAGGTGAAAGCCTGCGCTGCTGAAGGCAGTGGATGAGCAGAGCTGGATGCTGCTGTCCTTGTCCCCAGAGCGGGGCTGGAGGTGCTGGAGCAGCCACTGCTGCATCTTTCCAGGTCGCCCCCAGTGCTGTCCCCCAGATGTGTCCCACACAGCTTCTGGGCTGGGGACCCTGAGCCCCTGCAATGGGGCTCCATGGCAGAGAGCAGGCAGGAGCCCTGCTCACAGGGGATCCTATCCCATCTCCTCAGCATCGCAGGCAGCCATTTGTCTTTGGGGCAGATGCTGCCTTCATCCCTCCTTCCCTGCCACTGCCTTCTCCTCCTCCTCGCTCACCCCACTCTGTTCTCATTTCCCAAAGAAGACCTTAATGAAATCTGCCCTTAATTAAATCCACATTCATTTGCATAATTACCAGGAAATTGAAATTAGCCTGTGGACGTGGCTGGAATACATTTGGAATCAGGCAGCTCTGCCTGTCCCCCCCCCCACCTATGGGTGCTGCTCCTGCTTCCCTTCCCTCCCACCCTGGGGTGGCAGCAGGGCATGGGGGGACAGGTGAAAGGGGTGGATAGGGAGCCCCAAGGCTGCGGCTGCATGAACAGCATCGTGTTTTGTTTCTTGAAAGAAAAACGTTTTCAGCACCATTGAGACGGTTTTTGGGTTTTTATAACTATGTATTTTTTCATTTTTTTATGCTTATTATTTGTGGTTTGTGTTTTGTTTTTTAATCCTTTTCAACAGTGACAAACTGAGGTAACGTCTGTGACACTACAGCCTCTCCTATGGAAAGAAGGTCCAAAACCCGACAGCCGAGGGAACTGGAAATAAAAACCCGACAACCTACGGACACAGCGACCTCGACGAGAACAGGAACCAGAGCTTGGCCCCGCAGGGAGGCTCAGCCCGGCCCTCCCGGGGCGGCCGCAGCCCCGCATCTACATTATTGCACGAAAAGTTCAAGGACATCGAGGGACCTAAGGCAAAAAGGAGGAAAGTCCGCGCCTAGCGTCTCTACATCAGGGCAATGCTACTTCTAACCTGGCCCTGGGGGCCACGGGGATGGGGCAGCGGCGGTGGTGGGGCCAGCCGGGCACCCGCCCGCTGTGTAAACTGCTGCTGCTGCTGGATAGCTGGATAGCCCTTTGTGCGGGAATTGGGGCGCCCAAGGGAACAAAAGGGGTCCCCATGGCACCCACCATGATGGGAGAGAAGCCTGAACCATGCCATGGATTGGGTGCTGCTGCCTTGGGGTGCCCCCTGAGCCCCCCAAAACCAGGAGGGGAGTTGTGAGCCCCCCACACACCCCATGACCTTGTCCCTAAGGGGCCATCAGCGGGTCCTGCCACCACCACCCTGCCCCGCTGCAGCCAGCCTTGAAAGGTCAGCCCACTGCTGCCTCCCCACCAGCCCCACGGGAAGGTAACAGAGGTTTGGGGAAGGGGTGACAGCAAGGAGGGAGGATTGGGACAACACGGGATTCTGCTCGAAGCCCCCAGGTTGTACAGACCAGCCTGGAGACGAGCCATCACCGCCTCTTCCAGTCCCTGGGTACAAAAAGTCTGCAGAAGAGACAAGGGGACACCACCATGGCAGAGCCGCCCATGCCAAGCATCCAACCTGCTGGACATTGGCACCGCGGAGCTCAGCTCCCGGCTGTGAGGGGACCGGTCCCTCTGTGGGGGCCGGGGGCTGCCAGCAGCAGGGCAGGGTGGGCCGGGACTGCCGGCAGCTGGGACACACAACAACACACAGGGACACTGCTACATCAGTGGCTGCCAGCATCTCCTGCGGCAGGGAGGCAGCTGGTGACCCCAGCTCCCCCTCACCAGCCCTCCATCACTTCCCAGGCCCCACGAATGGGGCAGGGACTGGTGGAAGGGGTTAAAGTGTCCCCAAAGGCCTCTTCCATATGCAGTGTCATCGGCCTTCCCTTGAGCATGGGGTGGGGAGACCTGGTAGGTACCAACTGCCCTGGACCCCCCACCCTTGGGCAGTGACCCCCAGGTGTGCAGTTTCCTCAGTGCATCCTCCCCACACTGGGAGACCCCTCCTGGGGCACCCTGGGGGAGGCTTGTGGGTGGCAGGAGCCGGGGCACCAGCGTCCTCATGGGCAGTGAGTGGTGCCCTTGGCCATGCTGCCGTCAGGCAGGAAGTGGGGGATCAGCATCCTCAGCGCTGCAGAGTGCAGCCAGCTTTGTCCTTTTCCTCTTGCTTTCTGTATCTTTTTTTCCTTTGGGAGGCCTGGAGCCTGGTCCCGGCTCATGCCACCACCATGACCAGCACCGCCCATCCCTGTCCCCATGGCATGGGGACAGGACGGGACGGGCGGGCACCGCTAGCTGCCCTGGTGCCATCACACACAGATCTCTATTGCTGTGGCCAGGACCATCTGCCCTTTGCCCTTGTCCTGCCGTCCTTCCGTCCTGCTCGCTGTGCCCGGGGACACCGTGCTTGGCTCGGGGCTGCGGGGGCTGCTCCCCTCGGTCAGCACGGTCCTCTTGAGTGGGGCAGGGGTGCAGGGCCCGGCTGCCTCATGGCAGTGCGGCCCAGCCGGGAGCTTGTCCCTGGCATGCTTGCGGGAGCGGTAGGAGGGTCGGCACCGCACCTCAGCCATCAGGTCACACTTGATGAAGTAGAAGACCTCCTTGACAGGGCAGCGCTTCTCAGGGTCGAGGGCCAGCAGGCGCTGGAACATGCGCAGGGCACTGTCCGTGAAGCGCCGCCACTGCGAGGGCAGCCCCGCCAGCCGCCCCTTCTGCCACCGCACAAATTCCTCGAAGAAGGCATCCGACGCCACCGCCGCCTCCCAGGGGAAGTTGCCGGTGAGGACGCAGAAGATGAGCACCCCGAAAGCCCAGATGTCGATGCTGGTGTCCACGGCAAAGCCCTCCGCCCGCCCGGCCTGGCACACCTCGGGCGCCGTGTAGGGGATGGTGCCGCTGATGCGCTTGACCCGGCAGCCCACCTTGCGGGTCATGCCGAAGTCAGCCAGTTTGACGCGACGGCAGTCACGGTCAAAGAGCAGGACGTTCTCCGGCTTGATGTCCCGGTGCACCAGGCTCTTGCTGTGCATGTAGTCGAGGGCCAGGCCCAGCTGCTGCACACAGCGCTTCACCAGCTCCTCGGGGAGCCCCACCTGCAGGAGCAGGGACACAGTGTCAGCTGTGAGCCACCCAGTCCCTGGTGATCCCACCCCATCCGGAACCGCCACACTGGTGTCATTACATGTCCGACATGGTCATGGCTGCTGGTTCTGGGCCACCCTAGGGATGGGTGATGGGTCCAGGGACCTACAGGAGATGGGTTTCAGGCCACCCCAGGAGATGAGTGATGGGTCCCGGTCTTGCTTGTAGGTGCTTGTGGTTAGGGCCAACCCACACAGAGATGCCTGGTGTCTGCACATGGGGCCCTGTCCCACTGAAGCACAGCAGCTTTGCTCAGTGCCCTGGGGATACCAAATCCCACCCACCCCAAAAGAGTCCCACAGGAGGGGTCCCACCTGTGGCGGGATGATGTCGAAGAGGTCCCCGCCAGGGGCATACTCCTGAGCGAACACGTAGCAGTCCTCGGTCTCGAAGACCACATCGAAGACCTTGATGATGAAGGGGCTGGAGGAGAGCGTGTTGGTGATGCTGAACTCCCGCAGGAAGTTCTTCAGCTTCGTCTTGTTCTTATTGACAAACTTCAGGGCCATCTTGGTGCCTGCAGTGGACAGGAGATAGGGATGAGCCCGGGGCATGGCTGGGACAAGCCAAGCACCCCAGTCCCAGCGCAGCCATGTCCCCAGTGCCCCCCACGTTCCTCTCACCTGTGCTTTTGTGGGACACCAGGTCTACCTTGCCATAGGTGCCCTTGCCGAGCTCACGGATGAGGTCGTAGTGCTTGCTGATATCAGTGCCTGAGAGGGTGCGGATGGCCAGGGACTGCATGTCCTCGGTGATGAGGGGCACCCCACAGCAGGCCAGCTTGCGCGACGGCTCCTGCTCAATCGAACCTGCACTCATGGCTGCGCTGCAAGGCAGAGATGTCACTGTTCCCGATGGGTGCTGCAAAGCCACCACACCCTGTCCCATTCCATCCCGTCCCATCCCTGGGGCTTGGAGCTGACACTGGGCTGCTCAGGGCACTACTGAGTAGTCCCCAGGAGCCACCAACCCAGTGGCTCTGGAGCAGATGCCCCAGAGGCCGTGAGAGGCAGGGCCACAGAGTCCAGTGGGGACCCCAGGAGCCAGCCCTGTCTCCACCCTCCTGCCTTTGCAGAGCTCTGGAGTGTGGCCAGGGCCACACCACAGGCACTAAACAGGATATAGGTTCTGCAGCAGATCACCACCGTATACCTCTGATCATCCATCACATCACTGCTGTGCTGGATGCTCTGATGCAGAGCAGAGATGACAACACTGATGTTCCACCCTCCCAACAAGCCAGCAGCGTTTTTTCCTCCCCAAGAGCCAAGCTTGGACTCACCCACCCCACCACTGCAGCAGCAAAACCACCCTGGGATCTCCTCTGATGTCTTCATGGTGCTGCATCACCCTCCATCATCCCCCAAGAGCACAAACCCGCACTATGAGCACACACAAGTGTGCAGCACAACCGTTCCGAGCAGAGACACAGGCACCGCTGGGTACCATGGCAGAGAAATCTAGTGTCATTTGGGTTTTGTAGCCACTCCTTATCCTAGAGCAGAGCTCAGCTTCTTAGTTGATTATATATTTTTTTGTGTGTTCCTGGGAAGTTGGGTAAAAAATAGAAAAGGAACTTCAACATCATGATGTTCCAAAAATGTAACGGCTTGACTCATAAGATCTCCCAAGCAGCTCATCTCCATAGTGTTTTATTGGCCTCCTGGATGAGGAGCACCATTTCAGTGTCTGAGCGCTGGAGGTGGAGGTGGAACAGCACAGTAGCTCGATGGATGCATGACTAAAAACAGCTCCCAGCATCCTGCAAGAAGAATTGTGTCTACGCTTGAATTTACCATCATCCGTGTCTCCTTGTTAACCACTGTTGAAATCCAACTGCTCATGTTGGCAAAGTTGGGGTTTGAGAGAAAACCCACTGGTGGGATGCAAGAGAGGAAGTGAGGCTGGACGACTGCTAGGAAGAACTCTCCAAGCCAAGGGCTACTTCACAGAATCACAGAACCATTAGGATTGGAAGGGACCTCTAGAGATCATCCAGTCCAACACCCTGCCATGGCATGGCCACCAGAAGCAGATCACAAGAAATGTGTCTAGGTGGGTTTGGAATGTCTCCAGAGAGGGAGAACACCACAGACCCCTCTGGGCAGCCTGTTCCAGTGCTCTACCACCCTCAGTGGAAAGAAGTTCTTCCTCATGTTGAGGTGAAACTTACTGTGTTTTAGTTTATGGCTATTGCACCTCTTCTTGTCTCTGGGCACCACTGAAAAGGGTCTGGCACCATCTTCCTGGCACCTGCCTTTGAGGTGCTGATCCGCATTGATGAGATCCCCTCACAGTCTGCTCTTCTCTCTGCTTGTAAGAGAGATGCACTTGAGACCCCTGACCATCCCTATGGCCTCCGCTGGATCTTTTCTACCAGCTCCTTGTCTGTCTAGTACCGAGGAGCCTTACACTGGACACAGTACTCCAGATGCAGCCTCACTAGGGTTGAGTAGACCCATTGGATTTTTCAGGCAGCTCCTTTCCAACCAGCAACTGAGAAATCCCCATGGGAAACAGGTGTCCCACCAAGCCATGTCCCCTCCCTGCTGCTGGGTTTTTGCAACTGCACCAGTGCTGCAGATGCTGCATTTGTGGAGATTTATGGAGTAGGGAAACATCCTGAGTTGCAGGTCTGTGGGGCAGAAGCGAGGTCATGCTGCTGGAGCAGAATCCTGCCACAGTGTCTCCGTTACAGCTGGGATCCTTCTTCGTGCCTCATTACAGCCAGCTTGGGTGCAATGCACCCCTCACTGTCAAGGCTCACAGGAACACAGCTCCAATGCCAATCCCAGGGAAAACCAACAGCAATGGTGGCCAAACCCCCAACGTGCCAAAGCCAAACCAAAGTTGTAAAGGCAGAAGTTTTAATTGAAAATTGAACTGCTTTGGAAAACATGTTGGGTTGATGGAAGCAGCAAAGCGGGGCAGCAGTGGGGAAGGAGTGAGGGCTTCTGTCCAGCTGGTTCTGCACGCTCATGGGCATAGAAGGGGACAGTGCCAGTACAAGAAGAAATGCCATGGGCGGGTTGAGGTCCTGTGTCCTTGGCTGCCTTCTGTCCCATGCCAGCCATGCCAACACGACCGCTGTCAGGTCAAACCAGAGCAGAAACGGGGCCTCTCCCAGAACACCAGCTCCCCTCCTGCTGCCACTGCACAGCCCTGAAGCACTGGAGGAGCGGAGCCAGTGCTGTGCCTGAGGGAAGCCAAAACCCCTTCCCAGCGCAGGGCCCCAGCTCCATTGTTTTGGGTGCTGTTGAAGGAGCTTTTAAAGCTGGGAGGAATGAAGTGCATCCCAGCTGAGTCCCAGCAACAGCCCTGCAGCATGAGACCTCAGGCAACAGCAAAGCGGAAGGAAAAGTGCTGCCAAGCGGCACAGGGACCCCACTGCTCACCTCAGGTGGTTCATGCCATCATCTCCACATCCTGAACCGTTTCTCCTACTATTCAGACTAAAATTGTTCTGTGTTTAAGCTTCAGAAGCATTTATCTCATTGAGTGAGGAGGATAATCCACCCACTTCTTCCTTGTTCCCTGGCAGGTATTTATAGGCAGCCACTCGTCTCCCGTCGGCAGCTGCTGCTCCTCTCCCCAGACCTCCTCGGCTCTATTCCAACACCACTGAGCAGACCCCAAGAGAAGCATCCCATGTCCATATCCAGAGCCTGGCACCTTGCTGGGTACCGGGGCCAGCACCACCACACTGCTCCCTGCAAGGGGGTGCTTTCCCCTGCTCCGCATCCTGGCATTCTGCTCTGCTGCTCCCAGCCCTGGGCACATCGGCTCTGCCGACAAGTAATTGCAAACTCAGCAAGAGCTCATTGAGGAGCAGAGGCAGCCCAGGAGAGCTGCCCCAGGCACCCAGTGGAGGAGGCAGCAGCGGCTGCTTGGAAATTAAAAAGGGAAAAGTGGGAAAACAACCCTCCCTGGGCACATCAGAGACCCACAGGGCAGAAAAAGAACCCACTTATTGAGTGGGGTCAAAGGGTTTGGGCTGGGCCTGAGGCAGGGTTCTCTGTGGCCAGGCAGTGTGCTGGAAGCTTGGTGAAGGGCCAGAAAAAAACACCATGAGCAGCTCTGGGGCAAGAAACCAGGAAAATGATGAGGAAAAACCACACGAGGCAGGATTAGGGTCATTGCAAGACCCAGATTTCTCCTTAGAGAGGGAAGAAATGAGAAATACCTGGCAGCATGGCGAGCGTGGGCACAGGCTGCTCTGCCCTGCAAGTGCCCTGACCGCACCACAGGTACTTCACAGAGCTTTGATTTCCTCATGTCCCCATCCCAAACCCTCCTGCTGCTACAACACTTACTACAGCATTAATTACAGTGTAATTGGCATTAGTTATCAGCAGGTAACACAGGCTGGAGGCCAGGGCACCCATGGAGCTCATTCTCTCTGCACCCCAGCCAGCTCCAAAACCTCCCCTGTTTTCTCCAAACCACTCGCTGAGCCAGCAAAGTGATTCCCAAGTGAGTGTTTGGTTCTGCTGGTGACATCCCCGCTCATGGTGCTGCCTGTGCTGCCTCAATGGGGCAGGAGGTGTCTCAGCCTCCCTGTGCCCCACTCCACTTCCAGCCTCTGCTGCCTCTGCTCCTGCCTGACCCCATTCCAGGGACATTCTCTCATCTCCTCTGCGCCGCTGGGACCAGCACAAGGTGTTATTAAGATCACTTTGCCGAGGCACCAGCACCCAGGGAGGGCTGGCAAAGGCACCTTCGCTGAACGAGGACAACAGCTCCACAGGCACAGGGAGAGAACAGGCATCTCGTTGGGCTCAGAGCCATGGGCACCCTCCACATCCAGACATCCTCTGCCCCAGCAAAACCAGCACAGCACAAGTGGGGACAGTGTCCCTTTGCACCGGGTCCATCCCAACAAGCCGAGTATGTCCAGGAGGTGGAACAGCCTCTTTGACAGCATCCCGCAACCCCAGAGGAGCAGCCACCCCAACCCCACAAGGAGCCGATGGATGGATGGGGCACGTCTCCATGTCCCGCTGGCTCTGTGGCAGTGGAAAGGCACTGGGAAACATGATCTGCTTACACCACAAGCCTGAACCAGCACCAAAGCTCCACTGAAGCACCTGCAGCAACCGTGACTCCCCAGTGTCCCCAGTCCGGGACATTCCTCCAAGCGATGGCACTGAATTCCCAGTTATCTGGAGTTTCTCATACCAGCTCCTTGCCTGGACCAGAGCAGACTGCCCAGCATCAGGATCAGCTTCAGCAAAGCAAGTGAGCACCCAGAAAGGGTCCCCTAGTCAGTGGGAACTGCACTCCCGGTGGGCATGTCTCATTGCAGGGCAAGGTCAGGCCTATTGCACCCATCTGCAGCATTCCCCGTTGCAAGAATCATCTCCCAAGCCCAGCCATCAGCCTGTGCCCACCTTCTTCAGCTTTTGGTCCCAGATTCATGTTTTGAAGGCAAATTTGAGAAGAGCAGACAAAGCAGTGCCCAGGCTCTCTCCAACAGCTCATGCTGTCCTCCTGAGGGATGGGTGACAGCCACTCCCCGGGGAGCCACCGCTCCATGCTGTCCTCCGTGCCCTCCACAAGGCTCTCCCAGAGAAGCCAGCAGGATTTTCCCTGCCCTCATCAGCACAGTCTCCATCCATAGACCCCTGACACAGGACCTTAGTGCCTTTGAGTGCTTTGGCCTCCTGCGATTTTTCCTGGCGAGTGGGATGGCTTCCTTAGGACCTCAGCTCCATCAGCCTCCAGCTCCTCCCGCCTTTGCCTCCAGCACTGGGGTTTATGATTACTTCATTGTTTGATTGGTTTCATCAGCCTGTCATCATCTCCCTCCCAAAACTCTTCCACCAGCGCCGGCAGTGTTTGGGATCTGCAAAGACAAAAGGCCGGAGCGGCACCTGGCCGCTGCCCGCCTGGTCCCCACAGCAGGGCCAGCAGCTTTTGGCCACTCACACTCTGGGGGGCAATGGGACACATCACCCTGCTGCGACACCAGCCCCACGGCCCTTACACATGGTGGGGCTGCATGCAGCCCCGCGTGGGACCCTCATGGCCGGAGCTGCTGTGACCTGGCAGCCCGGGCATCGCCCCGGCTCCCACCGCGGGGGATGCTCCCACCTCTCCCTGGCCTCGCTTTTGTCCCATTGCCCCCAAGCAGCCTCTTCCCGCAGCATCCCTGCCCATTCATGCCACTGCCACACCGCGAGCCAGGGCCTCGGCATGGGGGCACCAGCCCCGCGGCTTCGGCTCCCAGAGGGTGATCGCAATGCCAGAGCCAGCTCCGAGGGGAGCCGAGGCTGAACCGCTCCGGCTCCCCGCGCTGTCACACCGAGCTGCGGCAGGATTCCCGCCGGCATCACCCGCCCTCCCTCGGCCACCGCGATGGCGAGGCCGGACCTGGAGGAAAGTGGGTCACGCTTCCCGTTCCCGAGCCGCTCCCGAGCAGCTGCCGGCGAGAGGGTGGTGCGGGCTGGAGGCCGGTTCCTGTGCCCGCACCGCGCTGGCGGCGACGGAAGGCGACGGGAGATGGCATGAGGTGCCCCCAGGGCCACCTCTCCCCTCCCTGATGCCCTTCCCCTGCCTCCAGCCGCTTCCAACATCTCAGCGCATTCTCCCAACCTGCCCCCCCCCATTCACCAGGACCCCTTCCTCCCTCGGGGGCAGCCAGGGACCGCCTGCCAGGGCACGATCCCCCCCCCCCATCTCTGCCGCCCCTGTCGGCCCCCGCCACCCCGCTCCGACACTAACTCCGCTCAAGTGGGACTCAACCGCTTCCGTCTCCGGCCCCGCGTTGTCCCCGCAGCCGCAGGGCCGGGGCCGGGCGCAGGTGGCGACGGGGCCCTGGGGGCAGCACCCGCATCTCCCGGTGCATCCCCCCCTCCCCGTTGTTCATGCCGGTGGTACCGTGATGGATTTTCCAGCCCGCCGCCGCCCCGCACCCCCCTCCGCGCCGTGCGGGCAGACAAAGGGCGGCCCCGCCACAAAGGCTTGGGCCGGTACCGGCGCCCCCCGCTCCCCTTCCCCGCCGCTGCCGCCTCCTTACCGGTGGGGCGAGCCCCT